AGGCCGTGTATAGCAGGGCTCAAGCAGATGTCCCTTAAGCTCTGTGGTTACGCTTTAACCCTCCTTTTACAATCAACTTTAACGGTATCGAAAGTCAGGAAATGACAACAGCCCTCACAACTGTCAACAGTAAAGTTCCCTCAGATCACTATCCACCTTCGACATCCGTAACTTATAGTCTTCCTTCACTTCTCGGTCAATACTCCTACTTCATTTTTAATTTTTTCCAGCTGTACAGTTATTGACACCGATGTGTTCCCGAAACAGCATCACTGCTCTGCTGAAACTGCACTCCAAACTACACATTTGAGGCTTTCAACGTCTCAACCACTCACTAACCAGAGCTTAGAACTCCGGTCATGGATGTGTCCTGTGGTCGTGGGATACGTATACACAATCAACATGAGGTTGTGCACCTAACCTAACTCGACCAATATGGAGAAACTGACTCTCGGCGTTTCTGGAGATTCGACGGTTAGTTCTCATGGTCTTGCAGGTTTAGGTATAGCATTCAGTGTTAGAACAGAAAACTCAGTGGTCGACTGGATCGGAGTCGACAGTTACCTGTGCGCTGTTCGACTAAATGGTGCCATGATGATTAAAAAGCGTAATATCTCTTTGTAGTATTTGTTCACGCTGACTGACTTCAGTTGGGGAGAAGTGAAAGATGAGTTCTACCGAAAGGTGTCTGGCCTCCTCCTGGGAAGCAAACGTCCAGAAGTAGCCATTGTAGCAGGTGATTTCAATGCAGAGGTGGGTAGACTAAGTCAAGCAGAGAGGCACTTAGGTGGCACTTTCTAAATCCTAACCGAAAGAACAGACAGATACAGGTGATAGCCTACTAGAAGTGTGCTCAAACAACCATCTGTTTCTGGCTAGCACGAAATCCAGACACGATGACAGATATTGTCTGACGTAGCATCCACTGATCTCAACTCAATAGTGGACACAGATAAACCATACTGTTATGAGTTATCGGTGTAATGGAGCACGTGTCTGGACATTGGCCGGAACGCTTTGATTGGATGACGGGCACGTCTGTGCCTGAATGGACGTAGGAAAACTACGGCCGAAAGAGCATTGGGAGTGCAGTTCGACCATGAGAGCATTAAAAATGCTTTCAGCAAGAAACTGGCTAGACAATTATTGGGACAATGTCACTCATCTAAAAGGAAACTGGTGTCATCTCCAGTCTGTTGTGGTGTGGAAACAGCATTGAAGACTGTCTGACTCTCAGAGGGTGGTTACGAAGAGCCAGTGGATCTCAATAGCTTCTTCAGAAATAGTGTATGCTTATGAACGCTCTTCTACAGGCTCCGAGCAGAAATGTAGACTGACGAAGAGTCTATGCGGTTATTGTGAGCAAAGGCGCAAAAAGTGGAGAAGGGAGCGATTATGGATGACAGTAAAAAGTTACTGATACTTAACGATGATCGCTTGCTACAGTTATATTCAGACAACTCTGTCGATCATAAGGTGTTTTAGCAGTGTCTGACTGTGAAGGAAGTATCGAGAAAGTATATAGCCCCAATGAAAGCTCCCTGCTGGAACTCATGCATCCGTGTATGGGCTTATGGAGAGTTGTTATAAAAATTGACAACAACTGTTAGTGTCCGCAAAATGTACTCACTGTCATCGTTCCTACTTAACTTCATCATAGACCCACTAATGGACATTACCATAGGTACCTCTGACCTCACAGGGATTGATCTACTCCCTGAAGGACATCTGATTGATTTAAAATATGCAGACGACATTGTGCTGCTCGGTGAAAACACTGACAAAATGCAGAGTCTTGTGAATGTGTTGAGCAAAAACCTGAGTATGTTTGGTGTGCGTTTCACTGGCACCTGTCAATTGTAAGATGATGCTCCACGACTGGTCTCCGACTACTCCCAGCTTAATGATGGAGAGTGAAGTGGTGGAATGTGTCGACCACTTCACTTACTTGGGGAGGTGTGCGTCAGCCCGAACAGGCTGGTTTCTGATGAATTCTCAGCTCCGATACAGGTCTGTTTGCCATTTGCCAATTTGTGTCAACCCTGTCACCGACTGTCAAGATTTTCGACTACCTATTAAACGGCGAGAGTACAGCGATGTAGTTCGTTCGCTGTTAGTATACCGCTGAGACATGGTCATTGAAAGTAGAAAATGTGAAGGGATGACAGGTTTTCGAACACAAGTATTTATGCAGCAATGCTCATGTATGGTAGAATCACCATGTCAGGAAAGTAGACTTTAAGCGAAGGGTACTAGGCAAGGAGGTAAAGTTGGTCGGTCGATGAAGTGGGGAACCTTCATCGACTGAGTTGACTTGGATATATATTCTGCATACCTTGACACCAGCTAAATGCAGTGCTTGAAGTAAGACTTGTGTGGAAGGAGGCTCATAATGAGGAGACGTAGACATTGCAGCAGTTCATGCTTTCTTTGACTGTTAATTTCAGTCGTGTAGAGAGGTGTAGACCATCTGACTGTGGTCTCTGAGATGACAAAAATCAGTGTTTGAGGACTGTTGCTGACATGTACGAAAATCGGTCACATGGACGCTGATGTATTCACGGTTTGACGTTTCCTAAAGCTTGAACGTTTTGACTAACTTTCATTTTGACTTCCCTCTGCTTTCGTACACGTTTTTCCACTGTTCTATCAGTTTTCGTATCCAGCTGTTTTTTGTAAACTATTGTGAAGTTTGGAAACCTTAACTGATGCACTTGTGTGGGAGGTTCTACGTTGATTTTGTCTGTCCACTAGTTGATTCAGTGAGGTGGTTTAGTGGATCAAATGTCAGTGCTCGTGGACTTTTAAGTCTCTATTCCCTTATTATTTTTGATTCCGATTGATATGATTATCCTCAAATGAAGCTGCGTGGTTTGCGTGTTAAATGTCTGGTATTTTAGATAGTGAAATCGACAGATAAATCCACATAGAACCTTCTACAGGAGTGCGTTAGTTCGATACGCTACAATTCACATCGGCTTGCAAGAAAGTGGTTAGAAGTGATATTAAAGTACAAAGAAATGTATACTGATTGGTAACTGGAGAGCAACCGGTTTCCTGTTGTCTGTTTGTGAGCGCTGGCCGAATTTTTTTGATCATTTTACAGTGTGACCACGAAGGTACGAGATTGAGTGCTCAGAGCGTACTTTGCTGGTTGCTAGTTAGTTAGATCTAGGGTTTCCTGGCAATTGACTCCACCCAATTAACAGATGAAAGTATATTTGAGGAGAGAAGAAGTAAATGAAGGTTAAGGAAAGTGTTCAAACTTTGGAACACAAGAAAAGTTGAGTAAATTTGCGACATTGTAAGTGATTTTCAGTCATATTACCAAGAGTGTGCAGTTATTAATTTCTCTTATCTCGTGGAGTGCAACGAGACAGTGTACCCCTCTTTACATGGCCGAGGTCGACAATCAGAACTTCATGGACCGGTACCACATCTTTGTCTAACTGCATTACGGCTTCTTCCAACCCAGTATTCGGCTCCTCAAATGTATTCTTATCATTTGGTGATTTGTTTGTATATGTATTATGTTATCTGCATCATCTAAGCACAAGGCCCTTTTACAAGATTGGCAGGAGCTTTCTTTCCTTCTCATGCTTGAAGTGGGAAAAGTGAAATGTAACTCAAAAATCGTGTGCACGTTTATGCACTTGTCGATGAGCTTCACGTATTGTGTAAGTGCTTATGGTACCACGTGACTGCCTAGACATTGATAAACAGAGCGGAGTTGGACCCCATCTTCCACTGGCTGGCAGTCGAACGCCTAGACCTGTGAGTCACAGCTCAGTGACCCTTGGTGGTGAATAGTTGGGATTTATCGAAAAGTTTGTTTACTTGGTTAGTTGTTTGTATTGTTGGAGATGTGGCGGGCGATGTTATTACCTATCGTCTCAAGAAAAACAGAGTGGTTTATGTTACTGTAGACCACTTTCGGTATCGTTTTAATGGTAGGTCGAGTGTTTAGTCCGGAGTTACCATGCGTCGATACAAGCGTATCCTCCCTGCCTCTGTGCCTGTGAGATCTTCCGTTTCCAAACTAAGGATATCTGAAGACTTTGTGTTCAGTGATTGTTATTTCCATAAGATTTCTCGCATTCAGTGGAACCATGATATAAACAATTCTGACGTAAGGCTGTGTTCGTTGGGTTCTGAGGGGTATAGTCTTTGATTGGATAATGTCATCTTGGAACAATGGCTATAGTCGCTTGATCTAGTGTTACGAATGTCATTCTATTGGCCTCTGTAACGTCATTGTTTCTCAGCCTTGTATATGGATGAGTTGAATGAAGGAGAACCGGTCAGTATGTTATCTGATGCTGCTGGATAAATGTTAGCTGTTATCGGCTGTCGTATACTGAGACAAAACGAGTTGGTATATGAGGTCCTAGTGTTCATTTTATTCTGACTATAGAATGTTTCTTCAGTTCAAATCCCCGGGTATCATATTTTTTGTTTTCATTACCTTCCGTTAGTATAAAAGCAGTTGAGGGAAGACTTTTTTGGTGCATCTCTGGACATGCTTCTGACTATTTGATCGACTCTTTTTTCTTTGCCTTTCAATTCATACCCAATGGTCAACCATATATATATATATATATATATATATATATATATATATATATATATATATATATATATATATCAATTTCAAGGTGAATACCTGTTTTCAGCAACCGATTGCTTGCAGTCGGTTTGGTAGTAAGTTATGAATTAGATCTTGCTCAGCAGCATTCACAAATGGACTGAAATTAGAAAATGCTATGCTTGAGCTTTAAACACTTGTTGAAAATGTATATCATATCTATGAGGTTTTAGGGTTATGGACTCGATTTCACTAAGCGTTTAGGTTGTCCATCCTTGATATGTAAGAACTACCTATTTTTTCTGTTTTCGTTGGTCCTCAGATTGGTATCAAACGTATTTTGCGTAGCAGTAATATTTATGTTCATTATTGATATGCTATGATGACTTTTATGTCATTAGTTTTTTGTTTATAGACTTGGAAACGACATTACGATGATGCATGTGCTGCTCTATCAGCAGGTACCGGTGATTCGAATTCTGTGAAAGAAGCCAATGCAATGCTCGTGCTATATGATAGCCTTCAACTGGCGCACAAATGTATATTGAACTCGTTTTATGGTTATGTAATGAGACGTGGTGCACGTTGGTATTCAATGGAAATGGCTGGTATCGTTTGTCATACTGGTGCAAACATTATAACCAAATCAAGGGAGATAATTGAGCAAGTTAGTCGGTTTAAACATTTTTTTAAAAAGCATCATAAATCTATTACCTGTTATAAATGTTTTATTTTCAAAGTCTGAGTACTATTCGGCAACTGAGTTATGATCCCTGCCTCTGATGATACTATTGAACTGTTGTAGGACAAAGTTGAGTTAATTGAGTTTAAAGCTGGAACCCAGTAATTACGAGTGTAGTACCAACTTTACTTCCGCAAAAAATATTACCTAACCTCATTATTGTTTTCGCTTAGTGACATTTTATCTTATTATATGTTAAGTGCGAACAAAATGTTCAAAGGTAGCTCCCATATAAATCAGTAAAGGTTTTGTAAAGTGATTTTTTTTGTAGACTAAACTATTTGTTTTTTATGAGATCACCAAACTTGAAGTAATTGGTTAGCTAAGTTCCCTCTTTGTTCAGCTCATGCGATAGTTTCCTCCTAAGTATCACCTACTATTAGTCATGTTATAATTCTTTGTGTTAACAGCAGAAACTAGTTAAAATTTTAAGCATTTAGTATACAGTGCAAATTTGCTATATTGAATGTTGGCATTCCTCATAATTTGACGCAGAACCTGATGCAACAGTTCATTTGTTTTATTCTGGTACAAATATGGAAGGGGGAGGAGTAATACAACGAATGCTTGGATAAAACTTCAACAAAAGTTTTAGCTGCAACTGCGCCATTAAGTCCGAATTTTCGGCTACCAATCATCTTTTGAGATTCCTGAATTCTTGCTATCGAGAGCAGTCCACTGTGAAGAATACTCTGTTACATTGTGTGCACCAGTAGTCAACAACTTGTTAGGATGACACCATACTTTTCCGTTTTGTTGTGAAAATTATTTTACAGTATATGCATACACTGGCTAACCACATCATATCAAGGTGTAGATTGACTTTAAACCTAAACTTAGTACTTATTTTGTTGGTCACTCTGCTACTGAACTAAGCTGCGAAGACATGTTCGTTTGACTTCCTTTAGTCTTCCTTTTTATCCACTGAAAGCTCTGTAAGTTCAATAAGAGCAGCTAAACTTCTTTGCAAATACATATGAAATTGGAAATCTATCCCATAAACTACTGGGGCAAGTCGTTTAGTGAATGCCCATATCTCAATTCATGTAATCGGACTAAAACTAAGTACAAATTCGTCGTAAAACACGGTTTTTACTGAACAATTGCTGGAAACAGCCACTAGCTGCAATGAACTGCAACACAAGTAGCCATTCTAGGGACTCTGCTGATCTTATTGAACAGATAAACGTAATTCTGGGTTTTTCAATAGCTTTTATGTTTTTTACGTGACCGTGATGAGCGATGAGAGTTACGGTCACCTCTTCTGAGGAATCGCAAGCTATCCAGTATTTCTCTGTCACTGAGAGTTCATTAAAAACTGACTTTGTTACACGTCAAGCTTTTGATAACATCTGTTTGACTACTCTTGCTATTTTTCTTTAAAATATGACTAGTGGTGGGATTACTCAGAAATCCTTGAAAGTTGCGCAAACATTTTTGCTCATTGCCTTCATTTAGCCTCCAGCCTTTGTAAGGAGCTATGAATACAAACAAGTTGCGTACCAGTATTCACTTTTTTCTGTATTATTCTTGGTTCAACATCTTGGTAGTGCTTTAACCACTATCTGAACGCGCTAGTTATATTTCTGTCATTTTATTGAAGTCATTTTATTACGTGTCTCATTTCACAGTGTTGCCTCCTTTTAATGGTTATTCTTTTTAGATTGGTCGTGCTCTAGAACTGGATACTGATGGCATATGGTGTATTCTTCCCGCAAGTTTTCCGCAAAACCTTGAATTTACTGCTATCGGTCCAAAACCTTCTCGTATTTCTATTTCTTATCCTGGAGCTATATTAAACATAATGGTTCAGGACCTCTTCACAAATCATCAGTATCATGAATTAGTTCATCAGCAGACACTAACTTACAAAGTTCGTTCGGAAAATTCTATATTCTTTGAAGTTGATGGTCCGTATAAAGCTATGGTTTTACCGGCTGCCAAAGAAGAAGGAAAACGTTTAAAAAAACGCTATGCTGTTTTCAACTTTGACGGTAGTTTAGCCGAATTAAAAGGATTTGAGATTAAACGGAATGGTGAATTACAACTTATAAAAATATTTCAGTCATCTGTGTTTGAAGCATTTTTGCGTGGTAATACTTTGGTAGAAGTTTATTCATCAGTAGCTAATATTGCTGATCATTGGTTAGATGTACTTTATTCTAAAGGAGCCGATATGCCAGACTCAGAACTATTCGATCTAATTTCAGAAAATCGAAGTATGTCTAAACGACTGGAAGACTATGGAAGTCAGAAATCAACTTCTCTGAGTACTGCAAGACGAATGGCTGAATTTCTGGGCAACCAAATCGTTAAAGATGCAGGTTTATCTTGTCGGTACATTATTGCGCGACAGCCTGAAGGTGCACCAGTAACTGAAAGAGCTATTCCTTTAGCTATATTCCAGGTAATGAACACGTAAATTTTATAGCTGACTGTAGGTGGAACAAGATTTATTTATCTAAGGAAGTGTTCATAGATAAAGATTATTAAATTATAAACACCAGATCTCACAAAAGACTAAGAAGTTTATTTCCTACTGGACATATTAACTGGCACCAGAATAAGAAATTGGTACGAATTGTATTGAGTTTTAATTTTAACCGTCGATTTCACATGTGTGTGTGTGTGTTGTACTGCAGTTAAGGTATAGTGAAGTCAAAACGACTGTTGGTTGATGTCCTGTTAAGATAATTAACTACCAAGCCCAACTGAATGACGGCTTTCACTAGCACATATCGGTCAGTCCATTTGATTTCTTTCTTAATAACATCCTCGACGTTGAGCAGTGCACAGTTTGGTTACCAAAGTAAACAGTAATGTTTTCTCACAATTGGCTTGCACCTACTTCTATCGCTTTCACTTATACTGGAAGTCTTATAAAACACTTACTGCGATACATTATCTATATTCATGTAGCTCATGTCGCATCCAGAAAATAGTAACCACCTAATTTTCTGTCAAACCTTACCACGTTAACTGGAAATGTTTTCACTTGAATATCTATAAGTGTTTACTGCATTCTTTCCTTTTTTCTAGGCGGAACCATCAGTGAAACGTCACTATCTTCAAAAGTGGCTGAAAGACTCTAACCTTGACGAACATACTGATTTGCGTGAAATTCTTGACTGGTCCTATTACATTGAACGCTTGTCTAGCGCTATACAAAAAATTATCACAATTCCAGCGGCTGTGCAGCAAGTTCCCAATCCGGTGCCTAGAGTAAGACACCCTGATTGGTTACTTCGTAAGTTGGCGGAGAAAACAGATACATGCAAACAACGCAAGTTAACAGAAATGTTCGTTCTTCAGTGTCCAGTGGAAAATCAGCTTTCAGAACAGCAACATATGACGTTACCAGACTTGGAGGCGATAGGCTCGAACAGCGAGGAAGATGTCAAGTGGAAACAACCTGTTGTCACTCGTCATCTTTCTACAAAGCGAGTTCGGTCGTCCAGCGGTCCTCCAAAGTCATGGCGTGAACAATTAGGAGAGCCTCCAAGCTTGGATGCTGCAAATACTCCGAAAAAGCTAGCTGAGTGGTTGGAATTCCATCAAGCTAAATGGCGTATACAATTGGAACAGAGGCAATATTACGCAAAGTATAAAGACAATACGAATGGTAATTTGGATTTAAACCATAATCTGTCATTCCTACCGCCGTCTAAGCGGCAATGCGGCATGGCGAGATATTTGAATCAAACTCGAACAAATCTGTTCACAGCTGTATGGCAGGTAACTGCAGTATTATTATTATTTTCTCCAAAATGGTTTCTGCAGACATCTCTGGCCAAGATTTTCCTCCTAATAGAAAAAGTACTGCACAGTACGCATATCGTATTTTAGCGTGCTTGTAGCAGTGTTTCAAACAAATTATTTACCTACATGGACAGTGTTTGTTTGGTTTTGGTTTACCTTAATTATATTTTCGAGTTCTTAGTACCCGAATAACTACAGGCTATGGTGTGTGTGCGTTCAGATTGTATCAATTTGACTCAGTCTGTAGGACTTTAGGTATTCTGAGTAGGACTCATCATGTGGTCAAATCACTGGTTGGTTATTGTTTTTAAAGTGGTTGGAAATTGATTTTAGTGACCCTGATGTTGCTCCATTTAATAAAATCTTAATTCTTGCCCTCGTTCTATTTTATTCATTCGTTTCCAGTAGCACATTGGTCTAGGCACTTGACTTTCAACCAGAGTCATGGGTTCGAACTTTACCTCATCTACCGAGATGTAGACAATCAGGTACTGTCATCAACCCTCACAATGAGTTTGGCTCATTGCTTGTTACATGGAGGTGCACATCGTTGCTAAATGCATTTTGATTTTGTTCCTGCTCTCATCGATGCATTACTTCTAAGTGTGTTAGCCGACTGAATACTTCAACCATTCAGTCTGAACGTATGACACCAAGTCTTTTGCAGATATTACGCTAAATTATCATAACTTCTGCTCCTTAGATATGATATGTATTTCAGGTTGGTATTCAGCATGGACTGACATTGGAAACCTGGTAGCAGTGGACAGCTGTTTCGTTCTACCATGAGACTCCTTAGAAGTGGAGCACCCATGACCCTGCCGGGGACCGAACCCAAGACCTTCAGGTTCCGTGGCCAGCATATTGGCATCGAGCCACTGGGTCGGAATCCAATGGTACATATTTCCTACTTCTGTCAGTTCATGATATGGTGCGACAGAAGTAGGCAATACGAACCACAAGATTCCAACGCAGTGGCTCAATGACAATGTGATGGCTGCGGAACCTGGTTCTGGGTTCGGTCCCCAGCGGTGTCATGGCTGCGCTGTACTGAGGAGTCTCGTAGTAAGACGAAACAGCTTTTCAGTGCTACCAGGTTTCCAATGTTTCTCCAACTGACGTCAGTCCATAATGAATACCAACCTGAAATCAATAAACAAATCTCCAAATTGAATATGATATGTATCCCATTTTTGTCTTCTCTTTACTTATCGCATTGATAGTTGTTATCTATGGAAAGTCTCTTCGCTTCACTGAATACATGATTCTGTCAAATAGGGTCGGTTCAATCACTTCACTTGCATCCGTCAGTACACCGGAACTCAATAAAGTTGTGAGGATTTTTCACCCCATACTTTATCGTTATCCGGACTGGTCTATTAGTTTAAGCATAGAAAATGAAATGATGGAACTCTTTACTTTTCGGATTATTTGGGAAGTTGTATCAGTAATAAAGAAGTGCGTACTGTTGTAATCTCTAAATGACCCACTTATTTACGTGCTCTGTTTCTTTTACTGATAAGTATACTACCCAAAAATCCTCTCAGCTTTACATCTTCGAAACATTCATAGAAGATAGAATACATTAGAAATTTACAGTTATTTAGTATGTGTCATGGTAGCGTTGATTTTTTGTGATAGAACCATAGTTTGGGGGTAAGGCATGAAGTACGCATCAGGGAAAGCAAGTCAAGCTCTCAGAGTGTCAATCCTTATCGATAGTGTTAGCCGCGAACATATGCTGAATATATTATTATAACTTGTCCCTTGGGTCCCTAATGGAACAAAGGGCTTCAGTAGCACGTCTCCAATGCGCCCTGTTCTCTGAAATCTTTTGAACCTGGCTCCACGAAAGCCCACAAGCTCTCATTTCCTCCTCGCACGATCTCCTCCATGTCACCCTCACCTCGGACGCCCAACTCGTCGCTTCCCACTTGGATTCCACTCAAGAGCCTGGCCTGGCCTGGCCTGGCACGTAATGTCCCCAGTCGGCCTTCTTAGTATGTGTCCAATCCATCTCCACTTCCTTCCAGTGCATATTTGTTCAGCGATAGCTTCTTGCTTCGTTGGTTCGTTGCCAGTCAGCCAGCCAGCCAGCCAGAGTTCCTTGTTGCTTATTCTTAGTATTCTGGTCATCTGATCTTCAGTATCGAGCCAGCCTAGGTAGTTGTTGATGAATATCTGTAGTTTGTTGGAAATGCCTTTCATAACGCGCCAAGTTTCTGAACCATCACACAGAAGCACTGACTTGACTGAATTAGTGTTGAAAATCCGAATCTTGCTCCACATGCTGAGTGCAGTGCAGTAGATCTCCACACTGGTTTCAGACTAATGAACGCCTGTCTTGCTTTTCCAATCCTATGTGGCTTTGACGTCCTCGTCGGTGCCTGTGCCGCCACCGCCTGTAGTTGAAACAGTGCTGCATTGCCTAGATAGGTGAGAGAGGCTACTTCCTTTAGGTTTCTCCCGTTCATGGTGATTGGAGCCTATTGTTGCTGTTATTGGTTGGGTATCTTCATCACCTCCCTCTTCTCTATGTTCAATTGAAGTCCCGTCTTCGCTGCCTCACCTCTTCTGTCAACTTGTTAGTTTTCACCTGTAGATCTTCGAGTTTGTGCGACATCAGACACAAGTCATCGGGGAAATCCAAATCTTCTAGGATATATTCCCCTGTCCAGCGTATCTCACTCTTCTCACAGCTCCTCACTGTTTGTTGCATGATTCAGTCCAGTCCACTATAATCAAGGAATATCATGGGTGATAGTAGACAGCTTTGTTTTACTCCTGTCTCCTGTCTTCACTTCAAAAGCATCACTGAGCTTGGCATGAGGAGTCTTCATATAGTTGTTGAATGAGATTGATAAAGGTTTGTGGTATTCCGTAGTGTTGAAGCAACTGCCTGTCAAATTACTTGTCGGTCGACGCTGTCGAAGGCCTTTTCAAAGTCGATAAAGTTGAAGTAAAGGTCCAGTTGACTGCCATTTTATACTCTGTTCTATGATGATGCGTAGCATGGCGTTGCAATTTGATCCGCACATGATTCGTACTTCCTGAATCCAGCCAGCCTGTTCCGGTCGTAGTTTTGAATCCAGCACATCCTTTAGTCTCTCCAGGATGATACGGCTTGATATTTTGCTTGCTTTGGGTGGACAGGGACAGGAGCGTGATTCCGCACCAGTTCTTGCAAAGGCTTAGGTCTCCCTTCTTCGGGAGTTTGACAAGATAGCCCTTCTTCCAATCAACCGGCAGGTACCTTCCCTTCCTTCTAGACTTTCTGCAGTAGTGGTGTGGTGTGAGCATGTCCATTGTTGTCTCTGCGTCTGCTGTCAGTGCTTTTGGTGGGATTCCATCTGGTCCTGCTGCTTTCCCGCACTTCAGTAGCTTTATGGCGTTCAGGACTTCGACTTTCGTCAGGGGGCTTGTGTTCACTTGTAGTTCCGTGACTGCAGGTGGTATTTCAGGTCGAGTTGCACGTGGTGGCGGTGGTGGTGGTGGTCTATTCAAGAGCTTTTCGAAGTGGTCAGCCCATCCTCTCCTTTGTTTCTCTTCTTTGGTAGTTAGATTTCCTTCATCATCTTTTATTGGTTTCATGTATGTTGATCTCTTCCCTGTCAGATAGTAACTTGGTTATTTGATACAATGTTGTCAGGTCTCTGTCTCTCCTACTTGCAGCCTGTTCTGCTTCACTTGCCAGTATGTCGTGAAAGTGTCTTTTGTCTTTGCACGCACTCTTCTTCACTTCTTTGTCCAGTGTTTTATACATTGTACTCAGTTCCTCCTCTTTTTGAGCATCCTTGCACTAGTTCATCTTCTGCTTCCCCATCCTCCTCTCCTCTATCAGCTTTCATGTGTCCGTCGAGATCCATTCCTCATCTTCTTTCCTCTTCCTTCTTCCTAATACAGTTATGCAGGTTTCCTTCCATATAGCCTTCAAAGAGTTCCAGTGCTCATCCACACAGGTTTCTTCACGGATGTTGCTCAATATCCCCCATTTTGTCTTCATGGCTGACGTGAAAATGTCCATTGTAGTTTCGTCCTTCACTTTCTGTTCTGGGTGCTGAAATTGAACTCTGGCGTCTCACCAACTTCAGTGAAGGCTTTCAACTTGATTTCGAAGTTAGGTTCCTTGCACTAGACAGTCACTGGTGTGAGCCTTCATCTGCTCCTCTTCTTGATCTCATCTTGTCTCAAGTAGGCTGCGTCTCCACTTTCTTCACATTCAGATGAAGTCGATCTGATTTCTAGTGTAGTGTGTCCTGGTGTCTGGTGAAATCAAATCCATGTCGCTCACTTTCTGAATATCCTTGTGTTTGTACACAACACCTCGCCTCCAATCACCAGGTCATTGAATTCACACAAATCTGCAAACAGTTCTCCATTCTCATTCTTCATTTCACCGAGCGCTTCTCTACCCATGATCACTTCTCTTCCTGTGTTGTCCACTCCCACTTCGGCATTAAAACATGTCAACCCACCCACTTGATTGCAATGAATTTGATGTCGCCATCTGGGGTGTAGTCTTGTCCAGTACTGACTGCAGTTGTCCACAGAATTCTTCCTTCTTCTGTTCATCTTCATTACTTATAGGTGGATGGTGTAGCACTGAATGATTGTGACTTTCCTTCCTCTTCAGTTGAATCTTGTTGTCACGAACTGAGGTCTTGTCCAGTACTGACTGCAGTTGTCCACAGAACTCCTCCTTCTTCTCTTGTTCTGCATTATCTGTAGGTGCGTAGCATTGTATGATAGTGACTTTTTTTTCCTTTTGAGTTGAACCTTGCTGTTATGATCCTGGAGGAAGATTGGTTCCCACTGTATGAGATAGAGCCTTCGATGCTCTTCAAGGGGACATCATGATAGCCACTCCAAAACTCAGTGTGTTTGTTCGTGGTTGTCGTCTGGGTGACAATATCGGAGTAGATTATTGATTCTCCAGTTGACAGTTTGGAGAGTCCACTTCCATTCCATCTGCTTTTGCAAATTCCTAACACTTCAATGCGATACCTTCTCATCTCCTTTGCAATCTGGGCAGCCTTGGTAGGTTCAAACATTGTGCGAACATTCCATGTCTGCATCCTTACTTTCGCTTTTATCGAGAGAGAGAGAAGGCACATCGGCCGATTGGCTTCCCGAATGTTTTCACCAACCGGCGTCATTTCGCATCTCCGAATCCAGCGAGGAATAAGTTGGTTTTTATTTTTATATTTTGTTTGTGCTTTAAAGTTTCTGTAGCTGTTAGATTGGTTTTACGGGGTAGGGTTGCTAGCCCTACGCTCAACCTTCCCTCTTTACCCGAGCTTAGTACCGGCTAGAAGCTGGTGAAGTAGTTTAGCACGGAATACACCTACGGGCTTTTTGCCCTAATGCGCTTAGTTGAGATCATGGTTGTTGTAAACTGATCGAGACATGGCATCGGTACATTGGATTTTCTGCCTGTTGAGTAAAGCCCCTCTGTTAACTGTCGGCTACCTGGTTGAGGTCGTTAAGATGTCAGAAATCAATGACTTTACTCAAAATTTGTCACAGTGATGTAGATCTTTTGCCATTTAAAAATGCTAAATGCCTTCAATAACCCTTATCTAATTATTTGCGTTGCTATCCTATCCCGTTTATTTGCTTTTTGGCGTAATATCGTTTGATCTTTGTTCACTGTTTAATAAGTTGTTGAAAGCTCTTTGATTTACGTAACAAAGCTTTCACTGTCCACACCCTACATCGGATTCGTCAACAAGCTTCACCAGCCAAAATCCTTGAATTCCGGCCATGGATGTGTGTTGTGGTCGTGGGTTACGTATACACAATCAACATGAGGTTGTGCACCTAACCTAACTCGACCAATATGGAGAAACTGACTCTCGGCGTTTCTGGAGATTTGACGGTTAGTTCTCATGGTCTTGCAGGTTTAGGTATAGCATTCAGTGTTAGAACAGAAAACTCAGTGGTCGACTGGATCGGAGTCGACAGTTACCTGTGCGCTGTTCGACTAAATGGTGCCATGATGATTAAAAAGCGTAATATCTCTTTGTAGTATTTGTTCACGCTGACTGACTTCAGTTGGGGAGAAGTGAAAGATGAGTTCTACCGAAAGGTGTCTGGCCTCCTCCTGGGAAGCAAACGTCCAGAAGTAGCCATTGTAGCAGGTGATTTCAATGCAGAGGTGGGTAGACTAAGTCAAGCAGAGAGGCACTTAGGTGGCACTTTCTAAATCCTAACCGAAAGAACAGACAGATACAGGTGATAGCCTACTAGAAGTGTGCTCAAACAACCATCTGTTTCTGGCTAGCACGAAATCCAGACACGATGACAGATATTGTCTGACGTAGCATCCACTGATCTCAACTCAATAGTGGACACAGATAAACCATACTGTTATGAGTTATCGGTGTAATGGAGCACGTGTCTGGACATTGGCCGGAACGCTTTGATTGGATGACGGGCACGTCTGTGCCTGAATGGACGTAGGAAAACTACGGCCGAAAGAGCATTGGGAGTGCAGTTCGACCATGAGAGCATTAAAAATGCTTTCAGCAAGAAACTGGCTAGACAATTATTGGGACAATGTCACTCATCTAAAAGGAAACTGGTGTCATCTCCAGTCTGTTGTGGTGTGGAAACAGCATTGAAGACTGTCTGACTCTCAGAGGGTGGTTACGAAGAGCCAGTGGATCTCAATAGCTTCTTCAGAAATAGTGTATGCTTATGAACGCTCTTCTACAGGCTCCGAGCAGAAATGTAGACTGACGAAGAGTCTATGCGGTTATTGTGAGCAAAGGCGCAAAAAGTGGAGAAGGGAGCGATTATGGATGACAGTAAAAAGTTACTGATACTTAACGATGATCGCTTGCTACAGTTATATTCAGACAACTCTGTCGATCATAAGGTGTTTTAGCAGTGTCTGACTGTGAAGGAAGTATCGAGAAAGTATATAGCACCAAACTGAGAATATCCGTAGACTGTGTTAAGTGTTTGTTATTTCCATTAGATTTCTCATACCCAGTGGAACTATGATGATATAAGTAATTCTGAAGTGAGGCAGATAACATATTTTTTGTTATTTTGAGACTTCGACGAGGTGCAGAGTATAGTAGATATCTGAATGGTAAGTTAAAAATGTTTAGGATTCACTTCTTGCCATGCGAATGCAAGTTGCTTCTCTGGGCGTGGTCTTCACTGATGCCTTGTGTAGCACTAAAGAATGGAATGGTTGTTTGCGTTGACTACGTCACTACCTCGGCAGTCGGATCAGCCATGGTAGGTTGGTGGCCGATGAAATCTCTGCATGGATGCGAAACGCTCGTTTGAATTTCTCCAACTTACGGCACTTTCAGCACCATCAAGATTTCTGATTATCTATTAAGGGTTGAATGTACTACGTTGCAGTTGTCTCTGTTCTACTGTGTGTCTGTGAAGCATGGCCGTTAAAGTTAGAGGACATGAGAAGGCCTAAGGTGTTTGACCACCTTGGCCTTCGTAGCGCGTTCCGTTTGTCGTGGTGTCACCACTTGAATAAAGTAATTGTCAGGTGTGAAGTTTTATGGAGGATAGTTGTCATTTCCTTAGGTTGTGTACCTTCATGAGCTCTAGTGGCTCAGATATTTGTTATTTATGCCTAGTCGCGTAATGTTAGCTGAAGTAGGTTTAGACTGGAAAGAGGCTAGAGCTGGCTAGACTAAACATGGCCTCAGTCCGTGAAGTTTTTGACTTTTTCTTGGTCGTGTAGAGAAATGCAGACTTCCCGGTTGTTGTGTAAGTGACAACAGAAACTAGTGTTTGGAGACTGTGTCTGATATGGCTCATAATCGACCTCAATGATCCAGATGCTTCTGCAGTTTTTCTGATTCGTCAAATTGTATTTCATGTTTTTACACCATCTCTTCGTGTGCTTTCTGTTACTTTTGGTTGCTTCCTTCCTCGTTTCTCTTTCATTCTGGTGACTTCTAGTTTGATTTGTTGGTCTGAGGTATGGTGCCTCAGACAGTTATGGAATAATGCAAGTTCCTTGTTGATATTGGGTGACTAATATTGTCGTGTCTCGTGTCTACTGCTGTGCGACTTTCTTCACTGTTGTGTCTATTTGTGAGTATTCCTAACTCGTATAGTATAATAAGCAGAAATTCAGAACAGAGTACGGACTATTTGTTTTTTTATTCAGACCAAAAACTTGATACAGCATGTGTATCAAAAAATAATTTTGTATTGTTCAAGTATCATAATAACAGGTGGTAAATCACATTTACGATAAGGCTAAGCATTCAGTCGTATAGAATTGTATGCATATTACTGTGGGTTTGATCCAATCTTTCTTTACCGAGAATGGAAGGTCTAGTTTGTCACATTCCAAGTCTTTTTCTCAGATAGTGCAGTATTTCCACATTTTTTTCTTAAATTTCCTGGTTTTGCGTATGGTATCTCTGTATTCTGTTATTAATTCGTATGTCGTTCCAGTATTTAGTGAATATTGAACCTTTTTTTTGTTAAGGTCATAGAAATTGTTTCAGATCCTGGACAATTGGGTCGTTACACTCTATGGGTTTTGCTCAATTCACCTGGATCTAGTATAGTCCCAACATTACACTCAATTAATTTAACAGTGTCCAGAAATTTCTATGTCAATTTACGTTCTCCGAAACCCAGCGACTTTGGTCCACTTTATCGTAAAGTTTCAGGAAATGCATCAACAGGTAGAGAAACTGGGAGTGCAAGTGGTCACATTCTTCCTAGAAATCACACAGTTTATCATTTATATGAGTATAATGTTCCTGAGGATGTTTACATTGAACATGCTTCAGAAATTGCTACTGATCTAGCCAGACCAGATATTGAGGGGGTCTATGAACTTGGCGTACCGAGCTTATTTCGTGTTCTAATGAAATTAGGCTGTTTATGTACAGTTGATCGAGAGGCATTAAAGAAGACTGATCAATTTCCTTTGCTTCCTGACGATACAAGTTTCAACTTGGATCAACTGCGTTTCTGTTCTTTAGCTCAACATCCTTATCTTTCTGGTCATGTATTGCGGCATGTGTTCTTATTTCACTATCAGTTACCTTCATTTGGACAAGCAATTACAAAAAGAGATTCACAACGTCAGGCATGTTTCATCTTTTTGTACTAGTTACCATGACATGTTTATAAGTATTAATGTTAAGAAGTTTTTTTGGTGATCCATGATAAGCCTGTATAACTAGTCAATGGCACTGTTTTAGCTTCTAAGCAGTACATGAGACCAGTTAGATGCACAATCATCTGACTGCATTATTAAGTTAACTCTATTTCAGTTACAAATTTCATGAGACAATAAGTACGCGTATGAATAAGAATTTCTTGTTTTTATTTTATGAATTTAGGTGATATCGACTGGAAAGTGTTCAAACTGACTTTAATTTAATGCAATGTTTCAGATAAGACATAGCAATTCTTATAAGTGAATATCGTTTCCATTTAATTGTATGAAATGACAGTCAGCTTCATCCTAGCATATATTATTTAAATTGGTAACATTTTGTTTGAAATTGGTGCATATTTAGCACGGCGCAGACGATTAAGTGTTCATTGTATAATCTGACCACTTTACTTCTCTGCAAAGAGGGGACTCAGTAAAAAAGTGCATATTATGAAGTAAAATACTGCGCAAGTCTTTTTGTTTAATCAATAAAACCTAGTCGAGTGATGGATGGGCGAACACGAAAATGAAATATTAACTGAAAGCCCAACCTGAGTTGATATTAGAAAACAGAACTGCTGAACAACGAAATGGATTCCTTCATGAAATAAAATGCTTACAAACAAAATAAATGGCATAAAATAAACATGATTATAACTTATTTTGTACAGTACATGTAATGAGTTGAAAAGTGGTTACCTTGGTCCCAGATTAGCCTAATTTTTCGTGTTTGTGTCTGCACAACTTCAAACATGTCCGGTTACTAATTGACCTTGGCAAGGCATTTTAATTAGACTAGAAGGGGGTCAGGAAAAGTTTACAAATACTTGTTTGAAGACATCATCATTTCCTGTCATCCGATATGCCTCTTTAGGGGCAAATTTAATCTACTCGAAAGGATCCTGCAACAAATAACATATTGGCAACTGTAAGAGACCTTACCAACAACTATTTTATTCATAATATAATTCTTAATAGAATCCCAGCGTGTTTAGCAAATCAAGACAAGATTTTTCGCTATGTATGCCACAACTCTAACAGAATATGTAGATATTGTTAGATTAGCACAGCAGGGTCAGCAACTTCATGTTAAAGTCGTAGTTACTAATGCTTGTAAGGCCTTCTTAACAGTCATCTGGGTGGTCCCTTATGTCTCTGGTTGATCAAACTCTATTCGTTATGACCAAAAAAACGCCTATCAGCTTTCCTAGTCTTCCCATGTAACAGAATTGTCCATGGTTTGTTGTAGTATTATAGGATTCATTGCAGTCAAGCAGTCATAACTGACTTTTTTGCGAGAAAACGAAACTCAGACATTTTTCCTTTGTAACACTTCATTACATTATCAACTGCAAATTACTTCGAAACCGGTAAATTAATCAGCATTGTCTGTTTATGTTTCTCTTACCTTCTACTCGTAGTCGGTGAAAAATGGGTCAACTTCAAAATGACTTTATTTTGCCATACCATCGTTATTTCACTAATACAAAACTTTATGTAAACAAGAAAGAATTTTAAATAAAGGAAAGTTTTTTTTAAAATTTCCAGCTTTACCTTCTGATTGTACCATGGACTGGTTGCGGCTATATCTGTGTAATCGACACCTCGAAAATTAACCAGCTGCCCGATTTAAATGGATTATATGTGAGACAACGTACCAAGTTATTCCCTCATTCTGCGAATGGGGAATTCCCTCCAGTTTCACTGACTTTGAGACGCATATTGAATCAGACGCAGTGAACGGTCGACGTGTAGTTCAGCGTTGGATCGCTAGTCTACGTCAAGGTGTATCAGAAGCACACTCAAAGGAGATAAATATAACTGGCTCACAGTCAGCTGCACCCGTTGTTATTCTACTGCATTCTTCTATTACTTCACAACAAGCTATAGCGGGTGGTTCTAATGAAGTGAATTGGCCTTTGAATGACGACCTAGTAGGACGTCGTCGTAGCCCTCAGTTGACTGCCTTGACCGGATTTCCTGTTATTCAACTAGGAGGCACTATGGATGAAGGTGAAAGTCAGACGAGTGGTGACACAGAAGCTGGAACAGGCGCCTACAGTCTTTTAAATTGGCAACAAACAGCTATCAAACGGGGTATTCGTTACTTCTTGCAGGTAAATTAGTTTTACACACAAAGTTTTCAGTGAAATACTACTGTAGCATTACTTATAACTTGTAAAATGAAATTAATTTCGCATCTCTGTAGTTCACTATCTTTAATATACAATCTAATACTTCAACTAAATATGATGAAAATCAACTTATAACTGTCATCATATTTATAGCACTTAAATGTATTGTAATCTGCAATTGTAGCTATTTCATCCATTATTATTTTAAGTTCAGCAATTCTTGGGTTGCATCAACAGTTATCCGTGTTTTTCTGAAATGAATATTCATAATTTTATATGTACCATTTTTTTTAAAACATAAGCTTTTATTTCCTTTACTAACTTTTAATTTATACTCATTATATTTTAAATGGATAAAAAGAAATTGCTGACCTCAGCAGCTGAAATCCCTGAAAGTAACAAAATTCCATGACATAAGAACTTGGCTATGCGTCGAAACTGGTTACTAAGGCAAAGATACCTGTTACTTTCAACTCTGCCTCATCAATCCACTGACATAACCTCCTTGCCTAGTACCCTTCGCTTAAAGTCTACTTTCCTGACATGGTGATTCTACCATACATGAGCATTGCTGCATAAATACTTGTGTTCGAAAACCTGTCATCCCTTCACATTTTCTACTTTCAATGACCATGTCTCAGCGGTATACTAACAGCGAACGAACTACATCGCTGTACTCTCGCCGTTTAATAGGTAGTCGAAAATCTTGACAGTCGGTGACAGGGTTGACACAAATTGGCAAATGGCAAACAGACCTGTATCGGAGCTGAGAATTCATCAGAAACCAGCCTGTTCGGGCTGACGCACACCTCCCCAAGTAAGTGAAGTGGTCGACACATTCCACCACTTCACTCTCCATCATTAAGCTGGGAGTAGTCGGAGACCAGTCGTGGAGCATCATCTTACAATTGACAGGTGCCAGTGAAACGCACACCAAACATACTCAGGTTTTTGCTCAACACATTCACAAGACTCTGCATTTTGTCAGTGTTTTCACCGAGCAGCACAATGTCGTCTGCATATTTTAAATCAATCAGATGTCCTTCAGGGAGTAGATCAATCCCTGTGAGGTCAGAGGTACCTATGGTAATGTCCATTAGTAGGTCTATGATGAAGTTAAGTAGGAACGATGACAGTGTGTATATTTGGTGGACATCACTAATTGTCGTCACTTATGATGACGAATGAAAATGTGATCGATGCAGCCTCGTCAAGCTGTGTCTGAAACCTGCCTGTTTTTTCTTGGAGTTTGGTTTTCTCAAGTTCCATTTAGGCGATATGATCGCGTAGCTGAGAGGTAATTACTCAGAAATTTATCATAGGGGAAGGAAGTAAGTTATTATAATAGCAGTATCAATATCGGCGATGATTCAGATGTGAAACGAGAGAGGGTTTAAATGATATATGGAAACAGGTCATGAAGCTTTATGAGAGTCACGAATCTGCACCCGTTTTCCACAAATAATGTAAACAAGCCGTTAGCGATCTGTGACTTGGTACCATTTCTTCGTCCATACATAATAATTAGTTGTTATGTTGTGGTTCCTCAGATTTGTTTCTTATTCAGTCCTTGCTTAGTGATATAATAACTTTGTAGCCTTAGCTCTTAATTTAACACTTAAATTATTATTTTAGTCTGAAGCACGTCTCGAACGACAGTTAGAACTGGCGCGCTACTTACATATTCCCGTTGGCAATATACCGGTTGCTGAGGCTCCTTTACCAGTTTCACTGGGCACTTTTGAAGATCAAGATGTTCAATCCCCAGCCAGTTCCATAAGTGCCATTGAACTGGGCTGTGATTTATTTTATGCCAGGCATTTAATCAAGCATAATCATGTCCTTTGGTGTTCGTCTTCTGATCGCCCAGATTTGGGTGGGAAGGAAACTGATGATCAGCGTTTGCTACTTGAAATGGAAGAATCAGGAGTAAGTTACAGTGTTTAATGAACCTAGGCTCATTTTATATATATAGTGTTTAGTGGCCACATTCCATGTCTTGATCAGTAGCATTTAGCCAGCACTTAAAACCATATGTTCTTTTAGTCTTCTGTCTGTTTACCGGTTAGCATTATCCAGAATTGTTGGTCATTACTACGCGTAAAATCTCCTCACTTTCTTGAATGTTTTGTTTTTAAAATAGTGTTTTTCGGTGGAAATGGGGAGTCAATATCGACATGGAACTTGACATTGCTGCATAATTACATGCATAAAATCAAATTAAGGTAGATAAGAAAGGGGGAAAGTAAAAATGGAGAAAGCACTTAACTTCAGTGGTTCATTATGATAGCGTAGTTATTCTCGTATTTATCATTTTTTAGGTAGCAGAAGTCAATCGGCCTGGATGCTATCCGTATGTCAACGTCGAATTGGAATTGTCCAATTTAGCGGTGAATACTTTGATTGTGGCTAATCGTATTCCAGAACTGGAAGGTGCTACACTCCTATCGTTCGATCGTTTGTCTGCTGCAGATAAAACCCTCGAAGAACAATTGAATCAAGGTGTAAATTTAGGTGCTCAGATTACGAACTATGATGAAACGGCTGCTTGCAGTGCGGCCTTTCGCGTTCTTCGGTAAGAATAATTTATATTGACGTTCAAACTATGTTTAAAGTAATTTCACCTCCTCTTCAGTCACCTTCCTTTTTCACAATATTTGTTTTCTTTTCTACAGGAAATTCACCTTAGAAACCATGTTCTGATACTACTAATAAATTCCTATGGCACTTCTAGTGAATCACACTTGTTGTTAAGCTGTATGGATTTGTTAATTATATCGACATTTGGTCAAAACGTCATCAGTTATGCAAGCTGAACAGTGAGCTTGAAGCAATATTGTCTATCATTTTGGCTGACTATTAGTGACTAGTGATGACTTTGAGATGATGACAGCTACTGTCCATAAGTTTTGACTAACATCTTATGATCTTGAGAAGTTTGGAGAACTAGTTAGTTAAGGTAATTGCAGTACAAACTGAGAACACGTGATGACGTGCCTGACTTCATTAATTAGTCAACGAATTAGTTAACAACCGAATCGAAAAGCCTTGTGTAACTGTTACATACTTCCAGAAGTAGAAACTGTATCACTTAAAGGAATGCTTTCTCACGCAGTAAAGCGAAATTGACTATACTCATTTGTAAGTGTATCGTAGTTTGTATATCAACCAACTAACCTGGATCATTTGTATTGAGCATACCTGAGTTTCAGCCGACAACCGATAATGAGTTTAACTTGCCGTCTATTGTCTTTTTCATGCCCAGCAATATGGTTATGTCCTGGGTTCGTGATGTAACGCAGTATCAAAATCCCCTAGCTGATGAACAGATTATCTATTTCTATCAATGGCTTCGATCACCTCGCTCATTATTCTATGATCCAGCATTAAGGCGAACTGTACAAAAGTTAATGAAGAAGGTAAGCTTTCGATCTTTGTTGCAGCGTAATGCATTTTAAGTTTGATGGTTGGTTTACGCATTCATAACACTGGAAAGTCACAGGTTTTTTCTTTAATTTCTTATTTTATACACTACTGGTATTAGTTTTTAAGTTTGTGACGGTCATTAGTGATGCAATTATACGATTTTAATCAAAGTAAAATTGGGTTGGATGAAGAATAAAGAAGGCCACATCAGGACGTGGCGCCAGTCGATGAAGTTTCAATCTACCTGTCTGAGCTCTCTAGGGAGAGGTAGGCTGTCTGGCTGTAGTCATCAAGATGTTAAGAATCATTGTCTACAGATTCTTGATGCTATGACTGAACATCCGTTACAACGGTACAGATATATTTAGTCATCAATATCTTCGAAATTTCCGTCATTTTTATTAATCTCCATCCATTTCTCTCCTAATGGACTTTCATCAACTTTTATTTTCTTCATTTTTTATCCACTTTTTCTGTAAATGTTGCTATGAAGTGTAGCAACTTGAACCGATGCACTTCTGTACGAGTTCCTACGTTGATTTTTGTCTGCCTCTCTCTACAAATATCAGATATTTCAGTTTATCTTTGAAGCCGAATGTTTTAGCTGTACAGTGGAAGGTGTCACGTATGAATTATTTCGCACTTGCATCACTTTGTATCACAATGTAGAAATATTACTTGACTAGCTCTCAGTATTAGTTCTGGTATGAATCTCTAAGGGAGTGTTCCTTTCCTTATGGCTGCAGATACACCTCGGTAATAAAGACTAACAAACGTGAAAAATAGATTGAAGGATTTCTGTTGATTACCTTAAATCGTTTAGTATCAAATGTCATATTGAACCATCTAACGTGTTGTTCACATTGAAAACAACAACATGCTGTTGCTTATTCTTATATGCTCAAAAAGTGAATCCTTTGTTTTTCACATGGGTTTTCAATCTTTTCTCGGTGGACCTTATAATGAAGCGTGATTCCGGTAGTTGATCTATTACTTTATCTACCCACAAACTCACCCAGTCGGCAGTGCTGATTTCGTGTTCTACAGACTTTTCTGAAGTAATAATTATAGGTTCTATCTAAAGAAAAATCCAAGTGTAAACTACTTGGGATTTTACAAAGAAGTTGCTATATGCGTTTTGCTGATGTCTTGTACCTGCTCATTATCAGATAGTTCACTCTTGGATTTTTTTTCACTTCATTCTTCGATTTTATTCAGGTATTCCTTAAATTGGTCGACGAATTGAGCCATTTTCATGTGGATGTAATCTATGCCAATTTCAGCCGTGTAATTATATCTACTCATAGAATTGAGTTACCAGAAGCTTTGGCGCGTGTGGACTATTTTACACAATTACTGCGTACACGTCCGGGAACACTATTCACTCATATAGATTTACAGTATGTAACTAGTTGGCGTCAGTTACTTTGGATGGACTCAGCAAACTATGCTGGTGTTAAGGTTCGTCATGTTATTCTTTTGTTAAACAAATTATGATTATCACTTTATACTTTTATACGCCCGTTACATATAAAATCTATTACTACCTTTTAAATTCGCTGACATCGATGAAAATCGGTCACATTGGTGTAGATGTATTCACTCTTTAATTTCTTCTAAAGTTTGAATATTTTCGCTAATATTGACTTTCTGATTCCTTTTCCTCCCATACACCTTTGTCTACCATGATACTAGTCTTTTTCTCTCCAACTGTTCCTTAACATGCTACTATGAAGTGTGGCAAGTTTAACCGTTGCGCTTCTGTGCAAGTTTCTACGTTCATTTTGTCTGTCTACCTGTCTGTCTACGTTACAAAACATCATTGGTTTGTGTTGAAGGGGACTTATGAGGTTAACTTTCCACCGAAGAAGGTAGTGAACCTAAATCGACAAGATTCTTCTTTGATCTACCTAGCTCCCACCTACATTTATGTGCATTACTAACTGGAGAAAGAACTCCAGAAACTATTCATAACAATGTCCAGAACAAAACACGACTTATATTTGTATAAGCAGTAAATAAAAGTCTAATATGAGATAATGGTGAAGATTTATAGCTGAGGATGAGAACGATAATGGTTTGGTGTTTTCTGGATATTTGTATTTGATCGGGGATGTTTCGTCACCAGGCTTTTTAATATCATCTGCACTAATTGTATGAAGGACTGAGGCATTTCTAAGGTGATACTAGTGTCTATGTATTTTCTTACTGAGGTTGGTTGCTATCCGCTTGCATGTTGGAGGGAAGATTTTTGTCACGTTTCAACCTGTTTTACTTAAAATCCCCTCTATTAGTCTGAATTTTATGGAGAAGGAGAATCTGTTGATTATATACTGAAACAAAATGCATCATAGGTTTTTGGCATATCGTCAACGTTGGTGTTGCTACTTATTTTCCTGGTTCGATTAACTTACACAGATACTCAGTTTTTTTAAAGTGATCTCGTGTTTCAGCAAAAGCGCTGGATGAATTTCAGTACATAGAACACACTTTCTCAATCTGTTAATCCATTGGTAGTGGGATAGGCGTTGTGAAAGTTGCTAGTTTGTTTGCTGCATTTCAACAGGAATTGATTAGTTGTCTAAATTACTTTTACGCCTACAATATTAATATCGACTGTATGCAATTTTATGCCTAAATTTAAGTCTGTTTTCTACTATTTTGTTTCATGTTCGTTCTTTGTCACATTATTTTGATTCCAAATGAAAATCGAATAATGGCATCAGCGTATTAGTTTTTCATGATTCATGCAATGAAGTGAGCGCCCTTTGACTGATAATTAACTATTAGAATCTTGTGGGTTAGTCTACTGACATCAACCATGATAATAATAGCAATATTAATAAATACTAGAATTGAGTCATCAGTTGAGGTTATCCGTACATACTGTCAGTAACTAACATACCATATATACTAGAAACAACAACAAGTTGAAGGGATTTGTTGATTTTGCATCCGACCAGCCACTGTCTACCCGAATCACGGAGTGAAATCGACCATTGAACATCTCACCACTGCTTACGTGTTTGTTCCGTCTTCTTTCATACATTACTTCTTGTTAACTTCAATAGTCATCTGTCCTTCACCTTATGGTTATTGAGAAGTATGATGACATGAAGCTATGCAGTTTGTAAAAGGCTCCGCACTGTTATATCTGTTGCCTTTTCCTAGATTACTGGTGTTAGCTAGATTAGGAAAGAGCTCTGAGTAGCTCCTCACTTTTGTGAGGCATAATAATATCTGACTGTCTAAACCTTGGTTAGTGAGTTGAGCTTTGAACCTATGACCTACTGATTGGAAGTCGAGTGAATAAACTAGCTGTCATAGCTTCATGTTGAGAAATCAGCTGGGAATCCTTAAGATAATAGGCAGTTTTTTGTTGCCGAGTCAAAGTAATATAGCTAAAAATCTATGTTGCTTGTTGATACGCTTGGGTTATTCACACTATACCACATCTTGAAAACCTCATTTTCGTATGCTTGCTGATTGAATGTCCTTTCACGTTCCCCCTGCTTCATTTTATAACTCGGTGCTTATTGTTCATTTTCTCACTGTTTGTGTGCTGTCTTGTGCACGTGGACCAACTTATTTGGCTTACGGACCTTAAGATGCTGTGTTCGATCATTTTGTTTGTTTACAGCAGAAAGCTTTAAATGACAGTATTCTGTTTGATCTCGAAACTGTAATTTAATTTGTGTTAAACTGACTAGTCATATGTATATTAGCATCAGAGAATGAGTACTAAACATCATGTTGACATCTATTAATTCAAAAAAAAGGATATCCTAGCAGGGAATTTTCAACAGTACACACCCATGGCCTGGCTAGAGGTCGGACTTAAGACGTTGAGGTTTCATTACGAACACGCTAACCTTTCAGCCACTCGGTCGGAATTCATTGGTACACAGTTTCCAACTTCTGTTGATTCGCTATATAACATGACTATCACCCAAGGTCTTCAAATGGCATCCATGCCCCCAGGTTTTCAGTGGATCCCCAACTGATTTCAGTTCGTGATGAATTCTACCTCAAAATTAAAATCTATTTCAAAAATAAAAAGATATCTAGCTACACATTTTCATGGGGTTATGAATTAATGACAACCTTAGTAGTTATAACCTTATTTATAACGATCTCAATATACTAAGGCGTAGTCCATTTAGCATTTTTCGTGGGGAAAACATGATTACTATCGTACTAAAACAGCGGTTAGCGGACTGCAAACTTTCCTTAGTCGAAAGTTACATTTCTATTTTCTTCTCTTTCCTAGTAATTTTTATGCATTTTAGTTTCGAAGTTTGTGGGGATTGATTGATTTCTAGGTAGTACTCATCACAAGGTGACATCATTTGTAAAGCCGTTAAAAACCTGAGAGCACTTGACAGCTGTTTTGACCTAGTTTGGGGCTTCTCAGGAGTGTGCACGCACGACTCTTTCAGGATCGGGTTTTGAACCGTCAAGCTTTTATATACATATGTATGATTGGATGAGTTGTCCTCTTTCTAAAATGAATACACCATAATCAGGATTTTAATGTGCATAATAAAGAAGTGTAGTTGATAAAAAGTACAATACTATACCTTATTATCAGTGGGCACTTTTTTGACATTCCCTTCCTACTATTTTCCCATTCTACTTGCTTTATGCAAAAAAGAAACCGAAATCAAACGAACTAACTCGTTTCCATCTCAGAAGGTTCTTATCTGTGCATAATTTTACTGTGATAACCCGTAATTTCTCATTCAGTATACTTCCGGTGGTACGGAAGACCCAATTAAACATAACCTTTTCTCAACTCTGTCTCCTCCTCTACATTTACCTCCTGATACTAATATGAAGTCTCTAACACCTTCACCAGCCTCTCACTCTACAACCATTGCCAACGACCAAAATCACCTAAACCTCATTCCTACTCTCCTAAGGCCACACCATCGACTTCATATAGGAGCTACCAACGTCCGAATTGTATACCGAATCAAACAGCGAGCATCGCTCAGTGAAACTCTGGAATCTCTAGCCACGGGTTTCCACTGTGTCTCTGAGACGTATACAGGACCCGAGTGTAGTTATAAAATTCAAATCAGCTGACCAGTACGTTCAGTCTTCCAAATTCACATTATGAGTATCCGGAGATCCAATGGATACCTCTCGTGAGCTCATTGGCTTAGCCATAGCATTTAGTTATGTAGCTGAAAGTGCGCCTCTCTACTGGATACCAGTCAACAGCCGTCTGTCTATATGCTGTTCGACTGAATGGATCTGTAAGAACTAGAAAGGATTGTGAAACTAGGCAATGTCTATTCGTTATCTCCACCTACACACCCAGGAACTGCAGTTCGTCTGATACATGGGATGAATTCTACGAGAAGACGTCAACTTTGCTACAGAAAGTGAAACGTTCTTATGTAGTCAATTTGGCAAGTGACTTTAACGCTCAAGTATGGAAGCTAAACTGAGGTGAGCCAATCGGAAAGGCATCTTGCTGGTGTTTACAGAATCCCGTGCCAACGAACTGACAACGGTGATCGTCTGTTGCAATTTTGTACCGACAATCACTTGTTGCTGGTGAGCACTAACTTTAAGTGTAAGGAGAGACACTGTCTCACATGGCGTCCGCCGACTTCAACCTGACGATGGACACGGATGGATTATATTAGCATAAGCCATCGTTGGAGAGGATCGGTGGAGGGTTGTTACTCTTTTTAGAGTACCAGTCTGGACTCCGACCACACGTTAGTACAGGTTCGTGTATAGTTACGCCTAACTGGTCGCAGGAAACAATCAATAGTACAGCTTGTCTGTGGTCGATTGGAAAATGAGGACGTCAAGTATGAATTTAGAGAAGTTGGCCAGGCATTTATCTGAACAAGATAGCAATTTCTCAATCTGACGAAACTTGGCATGATATTAAGTCTGCCGTAGAAACAGCAGTAAAGACAGTTGGTGACCTATACCCGACCTTTAGTAAACGTCATCTGAACTGATTTATGTCGGGAAACTGATTCCAGCTGCCTAGCCCTGATCACGATGAAGAGTGTAAGCAAATTAGACGTAAGTTGACCAAGTCTTCGCGTTGATATCGAGAGCAATAGCATTGCTCGGGTTTGGTGGAATCACCGTGTGAGCAATGCTGAGGTTATGCGAGGAGTACTAGGCAAGGCAGGCAATTCGATGGATGAGATTGCGAACCCTTGTTGACTGAGATGATGTGGACATGTACTTCTCATGCCAATCCATCGTCTACCTCGATGTGCCATGCTAGGTTAAGTTGGATTATGTTTGTAGAGGCTTCAAGGTGGCCAGACCAAAACGTGGCACCAGTTGATGAAGCCTCTTGATGTTGTTCTGAGCTGTGTGAAGCGATGTAGACTGCCTGGTTGGGGTCTTTGAGACGAAAGGAATCAGCGTTTGAGGACTCTTGGTGATATGGCTGGAAGTGGGTCAGAATGGTGCAGATATATTCGCTCCTTGAGATCTTCTAAGCTTGAATATTTGCACTAGCAGTTATTTTCAGATTGTTTACTCTCTCACACTGCTTTACCTACTTTGATGTCACTCCTTTTCTGTTCACCTGATTTTTGTGTACTACTGTGAAGTGTGGTAACTTGAGCCGATGCACTTGTGTACGACTTTCTACTTTGATTTTGTCTGTTATTCAGCGCATCGTTTTGTCCGAGGCGATTCTAAATCTTATCCTCACTAATATACTTCATCAAGGAATGGATGTCAAATACAGATTGTTGAGGAAGAGGTTTTTCGGGTAACTGTTGAACACTTAAGGACATCCGTTTATGAGTCGACGAACTCTTCGGCATTGACATTGATGGAAAATTTTCTCGCACTGAAGTTTTGTAGCATCTTGTCAATTTTTTTCCATAATTTTATCCTGTTAACTGAATAGATGCTTAGCTGCAGCCAATGCTGTTCAGTAGGAAACTATTCTTGAAATTCTTTGTTAAGTATTTTTTGAAATCGACTTCTCTCTCTCCATTGATGATCTCCTCATGCTGTCTTTATGTTGATTTTTGCAGGCTTCTGTGGAAAATTTAGTTGATGGTAAAGATGTTGAATGGAGTGAGCTTCTAGTCAGCGGAAATGTATTGGTTGATAACCCTGATGATAAGGAGAATAATGCCGTAGAACAAACTGATGCATCATTATCCGACCCGGAACTTGATATGCAATGGCATATTGCACGCTACTTGCCGGAGACACGTGGTTTAAGAAGTAAATTTCAAAGTCTTTTAGCTGGATACATACTGGCTACTTATAGTGCGATACGGAAAGAACATCGACGTCTGCGTGGGTTAACCAGTTCTCAATCATTAGTGAGTCCTATTATTTTCAACTTGTGCCATAATCTGGCACTTTTTGTTTTACCGTTCCCTTAATTTCGCTTAACCACTTAGTGCTTGTGGCTTAGTAGAAACGTCCATTTCAAACTAAAAACCCATATTATTTATGAATTACTCCACTCACAGTACGTTACTGGGTGTTGTTTGATCTGACCTTTGGATAATCTCATATAAGACAGGCTAAAATTTGCAGCAAGCTGAGAATCTGTTATCACCAGTTTTTTAAAATCAAATCTACTTCAAGCTATCTATAGCTATGTATATAACAGCATGTCTTGGCTAAGTTCATATGACATATGCTGCTGCGGATATTTTGGTTTATGCTTTGATGTCATTGTTTACTTAGCCTTATGTCGTCTTTTTATAAATGTGTAGCCATGTATACCTATGAGTTGATTAACAGAATGAACTCTTAAACACGCGGTCACTAAATTATTTTGGTTTTGTTTTCAAACATGATTTAACTGGCATCATACTTTCTGTGGAGAACATCTTTGAAACTCTCAAGAATTGACTTATAAGCCACTGGTAAACAGTATTTCTGTAGGGGTATGTTGTTTGCACGAGAGTATATATTTTGGCGGTGTTTCTGTGGTAAATATGTCAGTTCGTTCTCAGTAAATTCCTACACAAGTTTACAAATATTACTTAACGAAAACCTATTTTTTTGAAAATAAAATAATTAACCTTCAAAATCTTATCTAAATTTCATGATACCACCGGTTAAACTTTTATAAGATCTGCCATCATTGTCATTAGGAACTTGCGGTAAAAGTTCAGTACACTATCAAACATCTCGGGAGCTATACGAATAACTTTTAAATGCTTTAGTTTATCTATCGGATGAATATTAGTAGAATCTTGTCATTTCTTTGATATTCTTAATCAAACTATAAAAGTAAATATCTTTGAAAGAAGTGATTCGTTGTAGATTTTAAAAATGGCTAAGATTTATTTCCTTGATTGAAGACCTGCAGTTATTTGATAGTTCACTTCAGGCAAATTTATGGGCTAAGTTCTTTCTTTATCGGGTAACTTTACTACTGTTCTTTTTTCTATTTATCTTTCTCTCATTCATTAACTTATGAACTTTTGTTCATCGGTCGGAAATTATTCCAGTACAGTCTTTTACTTTATATATGAATGTAAAGTTTCAAAAATCATTGTCACAGTTTATAACAGTGGTTGAATTTCCTACCAGGTTACTAGGGTTAGTTAGAGCAAGAATAAAACTTATCACTTGAAATTGAAGCTGGAAATTAGTTTAATTCATCACTGAGCTGATAGCCAAGATGTTTTGCGTTTAAATTCTGCTACAACTCAGCTTTGCTTCCAAATTTAAGTTATCTCTAGTAGTATAGTGAGTAATACATTTTTATTAGGAATTTTGATTTCTGGTAATAACGGTTTCAATCTCAATTTTTCTAAGTGTTACACATCTAAAACTGAAATCATTCATTAATACTGATCTCTGTTAACAACGCTTATCTAGTTTCGCGGTGACTGCACTATCCCAACCACAATTCCTGAAGGCGATATTCCTAACCGTCAGCTGTTGCATCTGATTAAGACTGATGTTACATAGGTACTTGAACTGGGGATGAACTGTTGCCTGAATACTTTTATGGAGAAGTCTCTGTCTTCAGCACTGAGTGAATATCCATCGATTTATCAATTCACTCAAGTTTGTAGATACGCCTGTTTGATCAGTGCCAACGCACAAAACCTAAGCATGAGAGGTATCTGATATCCGATCCTATACGTGTGACAAAGTTTGTTTTGACATATTCAGTGCTCTCTATTTCTGGTAAAAGAGTTACTTTCCTTCGTTTTTTTCTCCAGAATATTTTTTACGGATGTATAACGCTTACGTAAGCCTTCTTTTATTCAGACCTAGTTTTTTTTATTTTTTATAACTGCAATGTATATCATCAGAATGGTCATTGTTAAAATAACAACGGATTATTCTTACATTTAGCAGAATGAATCATCTCAATCTCCTGTGGCATCTCATGTTAATGTGGAACCAGGTCGGGATTCGGACTGTGCAAATGTTAGTGAAACATCACCTTATCAGTCAGATGCTACAGTCTCTCCTGGTGTTCGAGAATATCAAGAACGTTTGCTTAGAGATCAGTTAGCTCCGGAGCTGTATAATTTAATCATTCGTCTACAGCGTAAAGCAGCTTGGATAGATCCAGAATTGATGAAGAATAATCACTCTTCGAACAGTACTTGCAACAGTGATAGACTGAATAGTTCAAAGAAAATACAACGGAATAATGAAATTGTAACTGTTTATTTAGCAGAGAAGTCAGTTATTTCACGCTTAGATTATGATGATACTGATATGTCAAATCATGACTTAATTTTACCTCTTTTGCCACCTCATCAAGCTGTGTACTCCCTCTGTTTCACTCCTCTACTCGATTTTATAAAATCCCTATGTGAGGTATGTTGATTTTGGTTTGTCTTCCATTCAAATATTTTCACTGTTACATAATTTTTGCGGAAGATGATCAAGCGTCTTGACACACGACAAATGCAGTCAGATGTCTTCCCAGGCAAACATTATTCACTGGTGAAAAAATTTTCAAGTCACCTTTGAGTTTTCTTTTCAAGTCGTCGATTGGTTTATGAAATAACATCAAGTTCAGTAAATGTCTCCTACTACTGTTCTCTTGGTCTATATCCTTAAAAGAAACCAATAGATAATGTTTGGAATTGTAATAGGCGACATTTACTCATAAGCCAATCGACTCAGAGGTAACTTGGTAAGTTTTTCATCAGTGAGTAATGTTTGCCTGGGAAGACATCTGACTGTCTTCGAATGTGACGATTACCATACGATGGTTGTAAATTAAAAAACTCTATTGGATAAGTGACACCATACTACGAGGTCGACAGCTAATTGTATATTACAATGATCAACATATTCTTTACGGAAGTCAGATGTTTCAGACATGATCATCAATATGGTCATGTGAATTAAAATGTTTATTCCGCAAATTTAAGTTTGTCCAACACCCAAGTTTGAAAGTCGGAAAAGCGTATAATGAAGATGAACTGGTAATATCTTCATGCTCTAGAGATTCGTCTGAATGTTCCCCAATACCGCAATCGAACATTACCGCTAATTAATTTATTCTGATCAAATCCATTTATTCGGATTTGAAAAACAAGAAAATGTTCTTAGGTCAGTACGCTCAATAATTATTTAGATATTTGTTATGTTAAATGTGAATTTTTCATCTTTTTGTTTTTTTATATGTTAATTTTCAACTAGGTATTAAGTTTAGAGCCCTCTATTCAGCTCCAAATGGCAGGCATCAGACGGGATCTACTTCGTTTGATCAATATTGGAGAATTTTCTTCTGAGGCTGTTTGGATCGCACCACATATGACTAGAGATTGTCTGTTAGATCAAGATCCGAACCAGCATACTTTTGAAACAACTGCTATTCGTTCTTTATTGATATATCTACCGGAAGTTGCGTGTCCCACCTGTAATTTTACACGAGATATAGATGTGTGTCGTGATATACATGTTGTATGGATACTCAGTCCGGTTAACAATGATACCAGAGAATCAGGTCATTGGGCTTGGATTTGTCCGCATTGTCGTACAGTGTATCCGCGTGCTAGATTGGAGGAAGCACTTGTCCAACAACTTGAACAAATTTCTCTCCAACATTGTCTACAGGTTTGCTAGCGTTATTGTTTTTTTCACGAAGTGTAATTTATGCCGTAAACCATATTATATTATTGTTATTTTTCCCTTGGGTTCCTAGTGGAACATGGGGCTTCAGTAGCACGTCTCCATTTCACTCTGTTCTCTACAGTCTTTTCAACCTGGCTCCACCACTGCTCACAAGCTTTCACTGCTTCCTCACACCATCTCCTCCATATCACTCTCACCTCGGACGCCCAGCTCGTCGTTTCCCATTTGGATTCCACTCGAGGTCTGGCCTGGCACATGATGTCCTCATACGGTCTTTTCAGTGCATGCCCAATCCAATCGATCTTCACTTTCTTCTGCATATTTGTTGGGCGATGGGTTGTTGGTTGGTTCGTTGCCAGGTCAGAGTTCCTTGTTGCTTTTCCTTTCTGGCCATTTGACCTAATCTTCAGTATGGAGTGAGCGTAGGCGGAAGCTGTTGATGAATATTTATAGGTTATTGGAAGTGCTTTTGTTTGCACGCCAAGTCTCTCAACCATCACATAGAAGGACTGACTTGACTGAGATTAGTATCGCAAATCCGGATCTTGTTCACGTTTTATGCTGAGTGCAGTGCAGTAGATCTCCACACTGATTTCAGGTTAATGAAGTCCCTTATTGCTTTTCCGATCCTGGCTTTGACATCCTCGTCTGTGCCGTCGCCTGTAGTTGAAACGATGCTGCTTAGGTAGGTAGGTGGAAGAGACTACTTCCTTTAGATTTCTCCCGTTGATGGTGATTGGTGCTTGTTGTTGTTGGTTGGATATCTTCATCACCTCTGTCTTCTCTACGTCTTGTCTTCGCTGCCCTGTCTCTTCTGTCAACTTGTTAGTTTTCGTCTGTAGATCATCAAGTTTGTGCGACAAGACATTTGGCATAAATCATCATCGGAGAAGTCCAAATCTTCTAGGCTCTTTTCATCAGGCCAACCAGCGTATGTCCATCTATCGCTCCTCATGGTTTGCTTCATGATCCAGTCCAGTCAAGTGGACTACAATCAGGAAGACCATCGGTGATGATAGTAGGCAGCAACCTTGTCTTACTCCTGTCTTCACTTCGAAGGCGTCACTGAGCTTTCCATTGTGAATCATTTGGCATGTGGCGTCGCCATATAGCTGCTGCTGAATGAGGTTAATAAAGGTTTGTGACACTGAAACCGTAGTGCTGATGCAGCTGCCTGCCAAATTACTTCTCGGTCAACGCTGTCGAAGGCCTTTTCAACAACGACGAAGTTGAGGCAAAGATCCAGTTGAATGCCATTCTATGCTCTGCTCTATGATGATGATGATGATGCGTAGCGTAGCGTTGCAATTTGATCCGCACATGATTTGTTCTTCCTGAAGCCAGCCTGCCTGCAGTCAGTCTGTTCCGGTCGAAATTTTGGAATGCAGAGCATTTTTAAGTCTCTCCAAGGTGATGCAGCTTAATATTTTGCTCGGTGTGGACAGGAGCATGATTCCTCGCCAGTTCTTGCAAAGAATTAGGTCACTTGTTTCGGAAGTTTGACAAGGTAGCCCTTCTTCCAATCTACTGGTACCTTTCCTTTATTCCAAACCTTCTGCAATAGTGGTGTGAGCATGTCCGCTGCTGATGTCTCTGTGTCTGTTTTCAGTGCTTCTGGTGGGATCCCATCTGGTCCTGCTGCTTTCCTGGATTCCAGCAACTTTATGGCGTTCAGGACTTCGGCTTTTGTCGGGGGAGGGGGGGGGGCTTGGCCGTAAGCCATAAACCTAGTTTAATTCATTGACCATATTTATAATCCAAACTTTTCTATGGAGAATTATTATCAACTTGGAATTTTTATATAAATTAACCGGTAGTGTCATTGTTGGTTTTAATGGATTGACGAACCGCTTATCAACATAGGGCACTTTTATTGAAAAAGATTCTGGACCTATGTAGAAAGAAGACTGTGTCCCTGAAATCCTTTGGTTCTTATGCTTATTCCGGTCATTATATTTAAATCGGAAGGTCACTATTATTTCAACGTCTGTTTGTTATACATGTACAACATGCCTTGCATTGTTATTACCTGAATTCCTCTCCTGCACCAGTTCGTCTGACTCCCTAATTTAATATAATGCTTTCTGTTCGAAAATATACTATTGTTTTTGCTTATAAAGTTTCTGAACTGCGACTACTGCACTCACAGTTGTTAATAGAAACATCGATTCATCCTACTTTTCACCATCTTTTGTGAGACATTTTGCGAATCATATTGAAGGTATAGTACTCCGAATTTTCCTCTTTTGAACTGTAGTGATTATGCCCGAGATATGACCCTAAATATGTATGATGGGAATTCGGTCGCTTCGAAGATTAATTCATATCCCGAAATGACGCTTTCAGCAGAACTATTGAGACCAGTAAGCACCATATATGTGAAACCTTCTAGTCTGAGACTCTTAAATGGTCACTGTCATTGATCAACTTGTAAGTCGAAAGCGGTGTTCCGCGTTCTTCAGAGAATCTATCCTTAGTAAGAGTTCCTAGTAGAATCCAGTATTCAAGTTGAGCTAACGTGTTCCTTCTTTTGTAATGAGTTATTTAGAAAACAGTCTTTGTCAGTAGCTAATTGATACAGTGTGGCTCATTGGCTTTATCACTTAACTTCACAAAAGTTAGTTACAGTTTTAAGTTCTACCCCAAGTGCTTTGGTCAGTACAGCTGACGCTATAGGTGTGGCTTATAACCTAATTTATGAAACCTGTTTGTGTCGGGTTGCACTAACTGGTTTCATCATGTCATTCTCTTTCACAGGATCTTCAATGTCCCAAGTGTGTTGTTGGCGGTGGGATACAAGAGGCGCTGCTTGCAAATGGTGGCTCAGTTGCTCAGTGTGCCGACTGTTCTACTAAACTGATGCCTACCGTACCTACCGGGTATGCAGTTTATCGACGTCTAGACGTATATCGTAACGTCGGTTTATATTTCGGTTTTGAATACTTGGAAAAAACTGCTTCCTGGTTAATTCAAGGCCTACAACGATAGAGGACCAAACGGTTTTTACATTTCTCAGAGATGAAATTCGTCTTTTAAAAATGCATTTCTACATTTTATTTTGCTAGAAGAATATTTTGCCTTTTTTTTCTAAAGGTATATGCATTTATGATAGTATTGTATTTACCGAATGTACTTCCGATTTTTACCCAACCTCTTTCCTATTTTGTATACTTTTTTTGCTATTTCAATAAATACTGCCTCCATCCACCTTTCTTTTTTGCTTCAGCATAACACTGTTTTGATGCAAACTAATAAATTATAGTGTTTGGATTGGTTTGTGTCTGCGTGTACGTTGTTTGCGATAGTCGTTAAGCTTCCTAGTCAGCATAAGAATATGGCTATGAATATAAGTCCAAATTACTACACATATGACGTTGAACTCAGTAATGTTTTGCACTTTTGTGAAGTGGGGTAATAAGCCACACCTATTGTGTGAGAGCTAATGACACTACCTGTCTGACTAAACCTCGGGCTGTAACGCATTGGTCTATGTACTTGATTTCCAGCTGATGGGTCACGAGTTCGAATTCCACTCTATCATTAGCCCTTGCGCAACAGGTGTACCTCATTGTCTACTGTGCGCGTGGTCGCTGAGGATATTTCGAATACAAAAGGTTGTGCAAAAAGGCACCATTTGACCAATGATTTGGAAGAACAACTGACTTTGTCATTTAATCAGTTGGATTATAATTAGTAATTCAAATTCATTTCCCTCATATATGAAATTCGTACTCGTAGTTCTGAAAACAAATTCTAGCTTACCAACTTACATCACTGTTTATATGAACTATGATCAAGGTTTGACCGAATAGTACCCCAAATATTGGGGGCTGAGTAAAAGGTTGACATTAGATATAGTTTGTATTTGTGTAAGCCACAGCGTGTTTGAAATGAGGTACTTCCAACGTTTCGCACGAAAGCCGTGCACTTGGATTGTCGCTAGTTGATCTGAGGCAATCTGCAGAAATCCTTGGACCTAGGTCTCATGCTTTTTGGCACTCGTCAGGAAGTCGTACCTGCAACCTGAAGGCTACTGATGTCTCCCTGGGGACTCGAACCCACGTCAATCAACTGTATTCCGAGGCTTTGTTATTGAGCTATACGGTCTGCGATTGACCCCGGTAGGACTGGATGTTTAATAATTTCAAGAAAGTAACTAGTCTCGCAAGTAGCCACTTTATTACGTACATTCATTTTGATAACGCGCACAGCATCGATTACTCTAAAGGTTGTGATTGTAAAATTTCTTTTTATCAAATCTCGATTTCAGCTTACTGTTTGGAATTGCTCATACTGGCTTTTATGCGAGTTCAGGATTTATTCACTGCTATCCTCATCATGATTCAAGATGTATCTCCATTTTTACAAACTATACTTGGTACTGGTTTAACATGGTTTCTCACCGCTCTGGGTTCTGTATTCTGTTTTATTATTTCTAATCGTCCTACCAGTCTACAGGTATGAAATAAGTCATATATATATATATATATATATATATATATATAGTGTTTTCCTCATGAAAGTTAACTTCTGATGTTTACTCAACTGGACATCTCTATAGTCGGACTGACATGAATAAATAACATGGTATCTAGGATCCTTGTGTAACCGATAGTAAGCAAAGTAAATAAAAAAAGGAATAAAAACTTGGTGATGGAATTATATGGAAATGTAATTTAGTTGTGTTTACGCCACTGCAATCGATTCAGTATGATTTTGCATTCACTTGGTTTCCACGTTAGCGTCTTCACCTGTTTTGTGTCATTTAAAGGGCCACTAACCTGATGTTGAAACGCTCGTAGGTGCATACACTTGACTCTCGATGATAACCGACTTATATCACAAATGGACTGGAGATGGAAATTCAGACAAATGGACAGAGTCAACGTGGAATCTCTTGCACAAATGATTAATTCACAGTAGTGTGCGGAAAAAAAGTGGATAGTAAAAGACTGATATCAAAGTAGACAAAATTGTGTGAGAAGAGAAACAATTTGAAAATAACGGTTGTTGTGAGTACTCAATCTTTAGGAAACGTCAAAGATTGAATACGTCTGCAGCATTGTGATCGATTTTCATCAAGGGTCTCCAACCATTAATACCTGTAGTCTTGAGGAACTCAGGTAGTCTAAATCGCTGAGATCAACTGTCAGAAACTTCATGAGACGGTGACACGTCTTTGTCTCGCCACCCTGAGCCGTTTTCCAACCTTATTCAGCCCTGGTTAACACTCCACTTTGACTTTCATTCTTTGACACTAGTACTCCATGCCATTCCACGTCAAGGATTCTGATTTGCCTCTGGGTCTGATTAGGATTAACTGAGAGGTTGTTATTTCACAAAATTGTATCGTAGAATGATGATAACTGGTTTGAGCTAACGTCTGTTAGTGCCCCTCTACCCATTTTGTGTTATCAAAGCTGTTGGGTTGTCCTACTGTTTTTTTTAGATATAAGCTATTTAAGCAGAAGCCTTTTTGAATATGCCCTAGCTGCTTTCTCTATTTCGATCTCGTTTGTTATCTCCAGTTCTTCTTCATAGCATTATAGTATTATTTTTCTAACACAGAACCGCACACGACTCAACTTGTTACAGTTAGTGATAGCATAGAAAGGGAACAACAGCTGAAATAAAGAGGAATGTCGGAGTAGGCTAGATGAAAGTGAAAGAGGAGAGAGCAAATAAAACAAAATTATTATGTTCATGATTTCAAAGTGTATTAACCATCAAAATATTTGTACACGTCTGTGAAATTAGTGTAAGTTCTCTACTAATCTTTCTGATATAACCGAATAATGTTGGATTGTGGATTTTTCCTAACTGATAGGATCTGAATTAGGGACTGTCGTTGTACACCCCATAACACTTCGATACAAGACGATGGATACTGACCACTAAAATACTGTCTCCCCATCATTGAAAAGGCAAGATTTATTGCTCCGGGAAAAGACGAACATTATGTGGATATACAAAGCTGTTCACATAGTTAGTTTACTGGACCAATAATCTCCAAGTTCAATGTGTAGAAATTGTCTTCTCAAACACTGGTTAATAACAGAATAACAAAATACTGATGAAACTACCTTTGACCACTAGATCAATAAAATGCGAATGAAATTACCTTCGATCAAGATTCAGGATGGATATTTTCTTTATATCCGTTATAACGCTTTCACAAACTTCCTAACGGGGTTTTTAATGCACTCGCGTAGTTTTCTTCTCTTGGAATCATCAACAAAGTTATGGACCTTTCGGAGATTAGTATATCTAAAAACCAGGAGGGATATCTCTTGTTAAACAGATTGTTTTTCATCACGTACATGTACATACACTTACACAGGCATGTTCATTTAAACTCCTAATTTTAGAATCGGATTCTCGATGGGAGTTTAGGTTTCTCTGCAGGGGTGAGTTCCATTATTTTCTCTTTGTTCATTAATTCCATTCGAATCCTTATATAATATAACACGAAATAAGTATGTATTATCTTGTGTCACTTTGGCTTTGTAATGGTCGATGTAAACATTGAAGAAGATTACGAAGAAGAGCTAGTAGAAATAACTAGAGATACCTGTGACTGTAGTAGTAGCATATAGTGTTTTCAAATCCTTATCACTGTGTATTTCGAAATAATAATCATAGAAACTACTCCTCACAGCTTACTTCATCTATCATGAGTGAGGTGATCAAGATTTTGAGTAACTTCATGTTATGACCACTTTACAACGTTTACAAGTATATTACTAATTGCTGTTTTACTGAGCTATTTATGGTTAGTGACGTTACACTGTTCACACTAATCTTTACTTTCAACAGAATTTCATGGCACAGATAAATATAAACTTTTGTGTTTGTTTTAACTTTTGTAATGATAATCACACCTACCAGGAGCATATCAGCTATCTGTGTAAAGCAGTTGGTCGATTTAATGTGATTATATCGTACTAATTCAGATCATAACATAAATCGATATAGCTTAGTACCCATGTCAGCGGCGCAGATGTATACACACATCATCCTCATCTTAACCGCTGCACTTAGCTTCATCATTTTCTCATTCCTCCTTTCTCTCTTCTACTATTTTCTACTTCCTTTGGTTGATTTTTCTTTCTTTCTTCATCTTCCATTTCATTGTCTTGTTATTTGATGTGCTGATATAAGGTGTGACGACTTGGACCGTTACGCAGTTATACCTAGCCCTATGTTGAGTTTGATTATGATGATGATAAACATGATATAATTGTCTAACACACTAACTGATTCTTTGTGGCAGCCGCCCATAATTAGTAATTAGGGTAAGGTAGAAAACAAAATCAGAGGTTTTGTTGGATATCAGCTAGATAAACAGACTAGAAATGCATATTTATAGCAACCCCAATGGCTTATTGGCTTAAGCATTCAACTTCCAAGCACTCGGTTGTGCGTGCTTTTAAAACCCACTCCATCTACTTCAGCTTAGACGATCAGGTAAGCCTTTACATCTCATAACCTGGTAAACTAATCGGTACCAGGTACCTGAGGTACATTCAATGGAAATTATATATATATATATATATATATATATATATATATATATATATATATATATATATATATATATATATATATAATATATATCGGCGTTAAGATGACTTAAACTAATCCGTTTATTAATCAATCTATTTTTCTGAGAATAAGCTATTATTAAACCGACTTTTTATGTGGTAGATTTCCTATGAGAAGAATGTGTTTATGAGGGGCCTTTCAAGGTAACTTTCTGGAGTACCTCAACAGATTCACTTGTCAGATATACTCTATTGGTTCTAGAGGTAGGCAAGAGAAATTTGATTTATACTGAAGGCAATGGAAAAAAACTTAGTTCTTTCGTATTTCTTTTATAAAATGCTTGTGGTTGCTCAGAGAGCCAAAATCATATACCAGGGATCAACCAATAACCATTATTTTCAAGCGATATCTATTCAATCGCTTAAATCGAGTTTTTCTTAGACAGACTCATGCTTTAACGTTGTAAAGTCCCAAGGCAACTAATTTACATGATATACCCGTCGAGATCAAACTTTTTGAGTCTACAAATGGAGCTGTAGCTCATTGATTGGTGGAGATAATTTTTAACCCATGGATAACGGGTTCGAAACTCACTTCACCTACCGAGGTCTGGACAGTACCATTAACCCTCATACATGAAGTGTGGCTCATTGCCTACTTCACGAATGTGCATGAGTTTTCTAAGTGCATCCTTAGAATTGCAGATTCCTATTTTATTTATACCGAGTGATGATTGAAGGTGAAATGAAAATTTGGACCACAGCCGGTCCAAATATAAATAAATTGAATTTAGGGGTTTATGCAAATTTAGAGATATTTTTTAATTCTTCCATCATTAACCGACATCAGTTGGAGAAACATTGGAAACCTCGGAGCATTGGACAGCTGTTTCTTCCCAGTATAGGGCAAACCTGGTGGTCGTGAAGACAGATACTTAGCGATGACATTGGGTGATGATCGCTCTATGTCATGAACTGACAGGATTTGGAAACATGAACCACTGGTTTCCGACTCAGTGGCTCAATGGTACCGTGCTGGTCACGAAATCTGAAGGTCGCGGGTCCAATCCCTGGCGGGATCGTAGGTGCGCACTACTGAAAAGTCCCATACTAGGACGAAACAGCTATCCAGTGCTCCCAGGTTTCCAATGTTCCTCCAACTGACGTCAGTCTGTAGTGAAAAACAACTTAAAAAGTAAGTAAATATCTAGCGAATTCATTTTTTTCTCAGACAGGATCTTTTATTCTCGTAGCTGTTTCACTGTGGCATCTAGAGCTGATGCACTTGTGTGCGAGGTTGTACGTTGATGTTGTCTGTCTATCCTTTCTGCATATTGGTTTTGAGACTGTTTTTTGAAACTATTATTCAGACTATAATGTTTATGACTTATTTGCAAACTTTTATGTCCTTCTCTAGACCCCAAAGAGGTACTTTGTTATTTCAATTTTTTGTTTGTTCTTTTCTTGAGACGGCTTAAAACAATCTCTTTTCAGGGCTCGTTGTCTTGTCACCTCTTGTTTTGCAACATTCTGGATGTAACCTTTCTAATTGACCAACAATGGTTAATGTTTTCATGTAGAATTGTGACTCAGTGCTAGGATAGAGATACTTGAAGATCAGTGATACTGCTCTTAAATTATGTTCACCCTGATTTTCTGGTTGCATTCATTAGCAGTAAATTTTCTTACTCCTTATTTTATGGTCATTGTGCCAGTAATGTTGAAGTGGTTCATCCTTCTTGTTGATAGAAATTTAAAAAAAGACAATTGTCGCCTGTGTCGTCAGATCTGTTTTTTTCAATCTTCATTGTCCCTGCGCCCTGCTACTGTTAACTTCACTGTACTCTTCATTATAAATTTCCAACATTTAAGATTTCGGTTCTTTTCTTCAGTTGCTTCCTCGCTTGTTATTCAGTTTGTTTCAACAAAATTGTATATAATGGTCGGTTTAATTTTTTTGGAAATTTGCTTTGTAATCTATTGTTTGTATTATTTTTATCATATCGGGCATTATACTTCGGGAACTCATTGAGTACCTGAAGTATAGTGCTAGGCTTACCGGAGCGAAAACCAGCGTGGAATTAAAACAAATTATTCTTGTTCTGAATAATTTATGGGGATCTTTAAATTCAGTTTTGCTTGACACAACTGGTATGTGTGCTAGAATTGGAAAATCTGCTGAAACCTGTGGCATGCCATAAAGTTATATAAATCTGAACACCCTACGTTAGTTGCTTGTTGACACTAAGATAGTTTACCACTAAGCTGTTCCGGACATGGTTAGCATTCTATAGGATTGGATTATGTATTCAAGTGGCAGCCTACATAAACTTCTATTTTAAAGTCGAATTGGGTATCGCTCAATCTGTTCTGCAGTATTCTGTGACAACAAAAACTGGTTGTCAGATATGTATTCACATATAATCTTCATCTCAATCATCATGTACTGAATTTCAGTGTCCTCTCATTCCTCCTTGCTCTTTTTCAAGCACTTACTACCACTTTTGATAGCTTTCTTCTTTTTTTATTATTTTACAACTTGGTGCATTTTCAGCTGATTTGCTGACATGAGGTGTGGCAACTTGAACCGCTACGCAGTAATGTCTAGTTTTACGTTTTTTTCCTGATGTCAAGATGAATGATGCTCCAATGTAGTGTGCAATGATGATGTTAAAGATACTTTCTGTCAGTCAACATTGAAAAACATGAAATATGGATCCAGGACTTTCTATCTACAGACTTCAAGCATATATACTGAATGCTACATCGCATTTTCGGACCATCAAGAGTAGTAACCGAATTTCGCTGATTATTTCATATAAGCATCATTGTTTATCATCAAACAATCAATTCATATAATTTAATTGTCATTTTTGGATCTGATCTTCAGTTATAATCAAACAAATGACGCCGTCCATCTGATGCAATGTTTTTATATATTTGTTTCTTCTAGATTAGTATTTTCTCAGCCATGTACTGACACATTTGATTCCGTTAGACTGAAATATACATCCTTCTATTAAATTAGTTCACTTCTAGACCACTTTGATATTCACAGCTTTAAGTGGCTAAACTTTCCTGTCTAATTCAAAGGATCACATATTTATTGGTAAATATTCCTTGCAGTCTTTCTTAATATTCATTTTAAGTAGTCTGTCTTTATTGTAAATCAGCGAATTATTTTCCGAGTCGTATTATACTTTTCCTGGATACGTATAGTATACTTATCTCACCTACACGCCACATGTATACGATACGCATTTTTGTCTACGCCTGAAACAGATTATGCTAGCTGCATCATTCTGGTCGCTTTTGGATCCAGCTCTGGAGATGGCTAAAGGTGAACTAGATCTGGGCGTGTTTTGCTGTCTTGCCTGTGATATGTGGATTGTTTTTTGGTGCTGCATTTGTTGGACTAGTGGAATACTTTCTACCTGCACAGGTCAGTTTGATAATTGGTTACTGGGTGTCATTCCAGTGTATAAGTAAAATTTCTGATGCATACACATGATGTCTGACGCATTATATTTCTTGTTACTTGAATACTATCTTCAAAAAACAACTTTTGCTGTTTGCTATCACATCCAAGTACTATAAATCCATCCGGTTTCTTTTTGAGGCTTTTCCCATCTAAGTGATTTGTTTTCCTTTTGAAGCGAGAATTACTTTTGTGCTTTAATATTAGGGGAAGTTTTACTCTTCTCCTACTTCTCGTAACTTAAATTTATTTTATTGTTCAATTTTACTGAACAATATGACAAATGCACTTATTCTCCATAGCCTCATTCACATGTTGTGCGTTTAAATTGCATTGATTTCTTGTACCTACTTCCAAGTAGTTTCGTGTATATCTCTAAATTTATTGCTAAAAAAATGGATAGTTGTTTTCTCTATGCTGATTTTCAGAATAGTTTTCTAATGGATGATTAATTAATATAGCACACAGTGATATAGTATTATTTATTGAATGACATTTCGGACAGAATGTATTGCTCATATTTATATCAAAGTAATTATACAACTTTCGAACTTCATTTACATAGTTCAACCGTTATTCATTCTTTTGTCCTAATGATATTAAAATTTTCCAAATACCTGCAATATAGGATGAAGCATTTCTATCATATATGTTGGATATTTATTCAATGAATAAAAGATTATGTAGTCAATCTCTCCCTCCGCCTAGCTGTACTGGATTTTATAACCTCACCCCACTTTATAGCGTGATTATGGATCAGGGCACGCAAAGTGATAGCCCGAGTTTTTCCACATATTCTTTGTCTTATTAAGGTCTATCATTCTATGTTTCTCTAAATTTATGTACTTTACTATGCTCACTGACCCTCTTTGGCTACTTTGACGCGATCTCGTAATCATTTTATGGTATTTGTTAGATTAGGCAGTGTAACTTAACTGAGCCCACAAAGTGTGTGTGTTTGCGATTTAAGTGCTACTCTTATCTGGGCATTGTTAAAAATCCTACTTAGAATTTTCGATGTGCCTTCTGTATATAGGAACATTGCAGAGGATTCGAATATCGTCTTAGGATATGTCGTCGCTCCTTCCCTCATAAGTTCTTATAAACTTTTTAAACAAAATTTAGGAGGGTAGTTATTAAGGATGATAAACTGTTTAGCTGTACTATTACGTAGACTGCTTTTGATTTCATAGTTTTAACGGGTCATGATGTTAATGATAATCCTAACTGATTATGTATTTGTGAATACAGTGACGCTAATGTAATCAAAGTTTCTCAACTTTACGTTTTTTGATTCTAGTGGCTCGAAACAGTACCAGAGATGACAGATGATTCTTTGTGTTACCCATTGCGTAGTCTGAATCCCAATAAGTTTGGTAAGTCACCAAAACGTAGGTTTGCGTCTGTAACCTTGGTCCTTCCCAAATTATTGTCTAATCTTATCAACTTTGTTCGCATGATTTTGACAAACTTGCGCAGTTACCAACTGTCTCACGACAACAGCATTATTATTTGCTTACACTGAATCATTTTCAATTCTCAACTTAATTCCCAGCAGTCAGCTACTGAGTATACAAAGTATAAGATGTTTAAAAACCTTTTACGTAATAACAGCAGTAACATGAAACTGCTGAAGTGAATAGTTTACGTGCAACAATTAATATGTATCAATGTGAATTCTTTTTGTGCAAATATAAATTGAACTTTTTCATCTTCTGTATATCCTACGTCTGATTCCGGATTTCGGACAATACTTCCCAATTTCTGAGATTGATACTGATTTGTAAATATCTTGGCCATGTGACTGATAATAAATATATAATTCCATATCAGATTTGTTTATTTGATGTGTATCGGACAGTGTTACAGTATAATTTTTTGATGATGACGTTTTGAGCATAAATTGTTGCTTATAATCACATCAATGTAGTCACACTACACAGGAATCAGGCATAGAGTTTTAAGGAGGAGAAGCAAGTCAGTAGACGAGGTCATATGAACCTTCATCGACTGAGTTAGTTGGGACACGTATTACGTATGCCTAGTCGCCGATTACCTCATCACACAGTGTTAGCCAAAGTAGGTCCAGGCTGGAAAAAGCCCCAAGGTGGCCAGACTAAAACATGGCATCAATATATGAAGTCATTGACTGTTAGTTTGAGCCATATGGGGCGATGCAGACTAGTCGATTGGGGTCCGCAGAAGAAGAGGAACCGGTGGTTGGGAACTCTAGGTGATATGGCTCAGAAGTGATGTCAGTGGTGCAAATGTATACACACATAATCCTCATCTCAACGACGCGATACCGAATCTCACCATTTTCTCATTCTTCCTTTCCCTCTTTTCGTACTTCATATTTCTTTTGACTGCATTTTCTTATCTTCATCTTGCACCTCATTGCCTTTTTACTTGACATACTGATATGAGCTGTGGCAACACGTACAACTAGGCAGTAATGCCTGATCCTATGTTCATGATGATAATGAATCAAACTACTTTCCACATCTGATTTTTATAATCCTTTCACCTCATATGGTCTACTTTTATTGGTGTTAAAATTTTCCGTACCTCTGGTTTAGGTGTTGAGTCATTCCTATTGGGTGTTGGTTCGATGAACAAAGATTCAGTAATCAATCTCTCTCTCCACCTGGTTATATTGACCTTAAGTACAGTGGTTTTAGCACACAACCACACTATAGGGTGGGATAAAGCCACTGTACTTAAGGTTAGTATAACTGGGTGGAGGGATTGATTACTGAATCTTTGTTCATCGAATCAACACGCAACACCTATACCAGAGATACGCAAAATTTTACTACCAATAAAAACTAACCATATAAGGTGAAAGGATTATAAGAATCAGATGCGGAAAGTAGTGTGGTTATATTGATATGATTATGAGCAATAATTTATGCTCGAAACATCATCATCAAAGAAATAATACTGTAACACTGTGCGATACATATCAAATAAACAAATCTGATATGGAATTGCATTCTGCCACAGTACCCAAGTTTTATACTTATCTTAATAAATATCTAGTGCAACCCAATCCAGTACAAGTTTGTGTACTTGGCTTTATGAGCCACTCTCATTGAGTACTTGTGATGCCTTTTAGCGGTCCATGTTGAATTAAGTGGATTAAAATTTTAACCCAGGAACCACTCCTTGAAGTAGAATGGTTAAGTCAATGAACCGATTGATTCTCTTGACTTTAATGTTCGGCTTTGTTTTGTGACTTCGAAACCAGCATATTCATTCCCTCGACTCAAAATTCTCAGTTAATAGTTGTGTTTTCGCTACAATTTCAGATATTCTGTAGGGTGTCAATGAAGTGATAGAAGACATTTGTTTCCACTCTTAAACTGTTTACAATTCGTTGTTAACTAAACTTTTGGTAAGGCTATCTATCACACCTAGAGCGAACGTCAGAGATGTACAGAATTTAGGACTTTGCCCAAACTTTACCAGTTTATGAAACTGTCATATTCCTAAGAACATCAAAGAATAAATTCCGATTTTCAGGAGTAAGAACACACAAAGTAGCATCTGGGTGATGATTTAGCAGATGTGTAACATTATTCTTGTCTGTAGTTAGGTGGCCATGTTCATCTATTCTTGCTTAAGTTTTATGTTAACCGATAGAAACAACGCGGTTAAATGCCTACCTGAATAAAATATTTCAACTATATGCACCGGTCAGTTGTCCCTCCGATGCATATTCTTTGATTTTATAAAACCATCAGATAAGTTATATGCTGTGTACTCTGTCAATAACCTGAATTTTTTTTTCTGTATTGAAACATTCATGCCTTTTGGTCTTATGTTTATCTCGTTGGTAACAACTGTAAGTACTAGCAGCAGTAGTGGTAGTAGTAGTTGTAAGTCGTAGTATAATTTGCTAAAAATTCGTGGGGGGATCGAGTGGTTAATTTGATGAGAAAATGTAGAAGAACACGGATTTTGTTGAAGGATCGAAGATATCTAGATGTATAGCTTTTGGTAAACTATTTCCTTTATGTATTTCAGTTACAAAACCCCTGGGTTGGTTGAGATACTCAGTTCATTCTATGAGGATCAAGATAACACTCCATCAGTGAAGCAAATTGAGAAAAATGTAGTTATAATTGTAAGTGATGACAGAAACTATTGATAAAAGATTGAGACGTGTGATGACAACAAATTGTCTTGTTCAAGTTACTACTGGTGACCCATGTTGTTGTACTCTTCAAAATCTCACATAATAAGACACGTATGTTAAGTATTAAGAGTAAATCCATACTGTTTTGATGTGTTTGATAAGTTAATTTATCATCTCTAAAGATGTGTAGGGTTTTCTTAAGTACGTGCGGAGTGAATATGATCTCAAACATTTGACAGACATATCTCGTTGACAATAGAATTTCATGGAGAAATGATTTCTCCTTTTGCCTGGTATCACTACACAATATTGGTAGTTGTTTGTTGAGTGGTTGTCTTCTCTCTTACCGTAGGAAAAGTCAAGCGAATATTTAAGTTTTTTGATTCCATCTATCATATATGTTTTAATTCCTTACAGATGAATCCCGGAATAATGTTGACAGTTTGATCAAAGATTACTGTGAATCTGATCTCAGATTACGTGGGGAAAAAACTTCGCAGAATATATCTTATGCACACTCATCATCTTTATCGGTAAAAGATGGTAACGATAAAAAACAACCTCCGAAAATGCTAATGACTCGACGGTTATGGCTTCTTCTCATTGCAGTTACCGTTCATAATATACCTGAAGGTCTAGCTGTTGGTATAGCTTTTGGCGGAGTTGGTCAATATCCGGAGGCTACTTTTTCACGTGCGTGGTAAGTGATTGTTGTTGCTGCGACATTTGGTAAAATAATAGCAGTGTTTTTCTGGTGTATTGTTAGATGAAATTGTACTGACTGCAACGATTTTTTACTCTGTTTTGTCCTGATAAAGTATGACCGTTGAATCTGTAAAAACTATCGGTGCTCTGGAGAATTGCGATGGAACAACCCAGTTAAGATTTCTAAGGCTTAGGGTAACACTTTCGTTAAAGGATTTGATCTATTTAATTAGATCCTAAGCAACAGCAACACATTGTCAGATGTACTGCTATCTATATGTATCGTTAAGTAACAGAGGGATGTCAAATGGATGGGACGAAAATACTACAGAACCAATTCATGAGATCAAGTACTGTTAGCTTAATGCATGAAAGAAGTTTTATGTTTACCTTATGCAGCTGAAAATATTGATCAGAGTTTCTGACATTACTCAGTTGATAACAGTGGCATCATAAATGTCGTTCATTTCACACTCCCCACATCTTCTGTCTTTTCATGTTGTATGTTTTTTTATTCATTTGTATTGTACATCTGGTGTTGTTTTTTGGAAGCATGTTTGCTGGAACTTGACTATTTTCACGCTAGGCTTTGTATTGGTCTTGTTATCTGGTCAGGAGAGTGCATAATCAAATCTACCAATATCGACCCAATACTTGAAAATTGAAATCCACTCAACAACCATATGTACGTCCACACAATAGGTCAGTGGTACTACCTCCCTTACCTGTCCTCGATAGGTGTAGCGGGTCTCGAACCCGCGGTCCATCGAACGGAAGTCATGCGCCTAGATAGATGAGCCACAGCTCCTCTGAGACTCCACTAGTATATTGCAGACAGGATTTTTGTAACATTTTATCAACATCTAGTGATCAAATCTGACAGCGCCAATCACAGTTAACACTTATTGTCAATCGTCATTTCTTCTCTACTGAGGATTATTTTCTTTGTAATGAATGATATAGTCTCTTATATAGTAGATGTTATGAATTGCTAATAAAACCAACCTTCGGTGTGCTACTTTACTTTTAGTTCTTTCTTTGCTTTTTTGTCTACCAGTAACCTGGCGATTGGCATAGCTATCCAAAACTTTCCTGAAGGGTTGGCTGTCAGTTTACCATTGTATTCAGCTGGTTATGGATTTTTGAAGAGTTTATGGTAATTTCTTTTTTAAAAATACTTTCTCAGTAGTTTTATATAAGACCGTGTGGCATACTTGATTTTCCAGATTACGTTGCATTATTATTTGGTTGTCTGTGAATCGTTTTGTAGATATAACCTTAAAAGAATTCATGATTATCATTGCCACTTGAAACTAGTTACTCCTGGAATTCAGCTTCGCTTTATCATGAGACTTCTCAGCAAGGCATATCTATAAAACTCACTTTGTAGGGTCCTGAAGTTCTTGAAAGGCTTTGTTAACTCTAAACTCTCCAACAGCTACCAGCATCCTCAACTTTAATTACTTTCATACATTTATTTTCTGAAATTTGCATGAGTCACTGTAGGCGTATAGTAAAAACTTATATCCTCTAAGGTTGCGAAAGCTAAATGCTCTTTGATAAGCACTAGTAAGTGTGCAGTTCGATCCATATTCAAGCTTCATTTTTTTTTAAGAAAACAGAATGATTCAAAAGAAGGTGTACTGAATAATCAGTATAGCTCGAGATATCGAATAGAAACTAATGAATGTCTTCTGAGTTGACTGCAGAGACTGTCTATATCTGTTTAATTGCTTGACTGATATTTAGTTGCCATAATTACTATCGACAAAATGCATTAGATGGTATGGCATCTATGTTTAACTTTTTCTTCAGTGAGAATAAAACTATTCCTACTGCATTTTCACATAGATGGTATTATCCGCTTTATTCGTTGTTTCGTGATGAAATGAATCCTTGGTTATCATTAGCATCTGTCGATGTGATGCTCATGCTGTTTTAACAGGAATTTGAGTAGGGGTCTATTAATATGAGTTTCTATTAGCTAGTGTATTTTTAGTTTATATGTTTTTATGTCCATTTTATATTTTTGTAGAATTGACATTTTGTGCTGAGGCACAGCTTCATGATTCTAGTTGTAGATCATTCAGATGCCACCACAACAACAACTGAAATTTTCAGTCATTTTATGTCAGAATACCTTTTCTAGCCGAAATAGAGAAGCCTTATTAGTTATTTTTAGAGGTTGTTAGGTTGGTCTTTAAAGTCATTCGACTGAGGTAGTAGTGTTACTTTATTGACCGATGGTTTTAAATGATCACGATATTTCAGATTTTGTCTTCCTCCGGTCGTTATTCCTCTTTATAGTTCTGCTAATTTGTTTTCCCGTTTGCTATGAATCAGGTATGGACAGTTGTCTGGTCTTGTAGAACCTTGTGCTGGACTTATTGGTTGTTTAGCCATACACTTTTTTCGAAGACTTCAGCCATATGCACTGGGTTTTGCTGCTGGAGCAATGATATTCGTAGTATTCGATGATGTTATGCCTGAATCTCAGTCCAGGTAATTGTTTTTGGTCTCACACCAAGTGTTTGTGTATACGTAAATAAATCGGTCTGCAAACTATAACCATGCTCATACCTTTATCCTTTGTGCTTATCCAATTCTGCGGACTGCTAATTGGAGTATAACCTCTGAGCCAGACGATATACTTGTGTTAGATATAATCAGTTGGGTGGAATGCCATTTCATGGCGTAATTATACGCTTTTATGTTGATTGTATGATTCGTTTTCCTGTGATATAGAGTTAGTTTTCAGGATATATCAACACTTACTTTGAAAAAAATAATCAGGATTTGTTCTTTGAAGGGTTAATATGGTGAGATGTTTTCAGATAGGTTACTTGAAGCTATAAGGTACGAGAGTAGATCACTTTAAAAGTATCAACTATTTAGGCATTTTAGACATTATAGCTTGTTTTTCCTCGTCGTTAATCTGACCTACTTGAGTGCCGATGACGGCCGATCAAGTCGGTTTTAGACTATACTTCGCCCATCATCCAAGTAGTAGCTAGTGTGATTGAGTGGCCTAGTGGATGATAACACTCTGGCGTTTATAGTGATTGGTCCTGGGTTCGAGTAATAATGGGAACAACATCATTCACTGAGAGGACAGGCACATCCGGCTGACAAGTCCCAAATGGAAGAAACACGCATCCTTTATTCCACTGCTAGCCGCTATCTATCATTAAAATGAAGTATTTAGGCACTCTTCGTGATTTGTATGTTGTCTACGAAACTGAAGTTCCTTATTCCATCTTGTAAAACAGTTGGAAGTCTGACAAGGCAAGACTGAGCAAAACGTTTCGTTTTCTATAATTTCTAGATAAACACCAATATTTAGTAACAGTAAAAAGTGTCTAAGCCTGTACAAACCTCTGATCCATCTACCCTAAGTGGGAGTTGCCACTTTCATATGGGTAGCTAAACGAAAAGTTTCGGTAAAGTTTTGTGACCGGATGGTCGAAAAGAAACGACAAATGAACCAACACCGCCGGGCCAGCAGACCGTGGGATATGATGGAGTGTGTTATTTTTGGGGCCAACATTTTCTAATCCCCCCACCTTTCCGCAGAGAAGGCAACATCAACATGGCAGTGGTGGTCATCGAAGGGAAACACCTTACTGCTGTCACACCCCATCCAGCTAGCAAGAGTACGACTTCGCCCTCAGACTCCCATCATAGTGTAGTAATATACACCACAACGGTAACTGCTTTTTGTCTAACCACTATCCAACAGACCTTTCTGGTATGGTAGGACCTCGAGGGAACAAGTGTTCCACCAGCATAGTTCGTTGGGTCATTGTGGTATATATATATATATATATATATATATATATATATATATAGAGAGAGAGAGAGAGAGAGAGAGAGAGAGAAGTGTCTTCATACACATTACTATAGAAAAACACACATCATTGTCAAGTTGGAGAGTTATAGGAAGTAGAGATACGGCGGCATAGTGCGCAAGCGTATATAACTTATATATAATAGATTTTTAGTGGAGTCAATGTACTTTTCGAACACCAGTAGTGACATAAGGAAAGGGAAAAATAGATTATTCTCATTAGTCTCTTGATTTTACCTACTGCTATTGGATTTTTTTTCGTATTTTATCTTGTCTGCAGTTTCATGTTCACTGTATGTGTATAATGTGTACGTGTACTTGTGTATCGTACGCTTCTGAAAGTGAATAGAACTAAAGAGTAACAGATTTTGTTTTAGGCTTTTCTCAGGTTTTGTTTATTCAGTCATGACATAGTGGATAATAATTGTATGGTTTACTTCATTCAAGCTTTTTACTTTTCCATGCATATAAATCACCTATGCAAAAAATATTGTGAATCCTTTGCTTCTCTGATGATCTCACTAGTTTCTAGTTGTTGTTGCGTTTTTACTCCTTCTCCTCCTCTTTCGTTTTTTTTTCATCCTGTCGTTATTTACTTTTTGTGGCCTATATCATCAAAGGAAGAGTTTTACCTTTTCTTTTGTAAATGGCGTGAAATTTTTGTTTCGAGTGCCTTTTATTCTGTTTTCTGTTGTACTGCGAAATGACTGTCAACAATAGATTATGATATGAGAAGGTTAAATGTACTTTTAGCATATAACCCATAGGTGTTTGGGAAGCGCATATCGTCAACTTTCATTCAAGATGAAGGTTTAAGCTTCTGTGAATAGTTTTCAAATCAAATCTGAGTGTAATTTAACATTCTCTACTCATAAATTTACGGAATTTCTAAGTTTTATTCCTTTAACATGAATACTTGATTCCATCGCGTCCTAAACCAACTATACCTTCCTGCCGAATTCTAAAAAAACAGTGGAAACCAATTATCTTGTTGTTGTGCCACATTCCTTATCATCGATCGCAGTTCCATTGATAAACATGTTGTTCATCCGCGTCCTTTTCTCTGTGATGCGTAATTCCCTTGTCGAGCTTTCGTTGACATTCCATACAATCTTATCATTGCGCAACTTGCAGTGAGTGGAATTCTTCCTCTTTTTCTTTCATTTAGAAAGATGATGTACGTCTGCTACTGTTGACTCTACATCACCTGATGTATTTCGTTTGAGATGTACATCATCATTTTCTTTGTAAGTACTTTCTACCCTAGGCTGTTTGGATGTATATCACCTCGGTCTTGGTCCATTCCAGTCGACCAGTTATTTTTTTGTTTAACAGTAAAGTAGATAATCTGTCCATCTCAGTATTTCCTCGAGCTTTTATCATTTTGCACTCCAATAGCTTAAAAATGAATAACGATGAAACTGACATTTAACTCGAAGTATCCATAACTTTAACGTGTCAATCTTTCATTTCAGTACATTGTTATTTATTGCCATCTGTCTCTGTTTTATCATCTATAGGGTATTCCTTTTGAACGGAGAAAGTTTATAATGTAATTAAAGTATCCTATTCTTCATCTCTATGTTATATCCCTCTCAGTAAACAATTCAATTGCAAAAGCTTACTGAATCTCCTTCATTTGAAAACGTTGCATTTAATCACCACTAAATTTTAAGTCCAGAACTCGATACTTCAGTATCGTTGACTCACTACTGTGAAACGGTGACTGTGCTAAATCCCCAAATGGATGACTGCTAATCAACTGAATTTATGTTTATATCCAATGATCTTTCAGATCCAAGCTGATTAATGAAATCAAACGATCACTTATCCACAAAACCTGTTAACAGTCAGTCGTCGATTCAGGAAAAGCCAGTGAGTAGGCAGCTAATAAGTTCTTACCTATAAAGACAAAGTTGTAGTTGCCTGAATTCAAACACTAAGGATAAAGCGGATATCTGACTTCTCATTAAAGGACGAGTGCACTATAATGCAGTTCATTTTGTGTTGGTATACAACTGAGAAGTGGTCGTCAAAAACAAAATGTGAAGACATGACAAGTTTTCGAACATAGGTGGCTTCACAGCTATGCCCACGTATTATGGAATTACTTTTTGAGTAATTAATATTCACGTTAGTAGGTACTGGACTAGGAAGGAAAGTCACTGGATGAGTTTGTGAACCTTCACCGACTGAGGTGGCTTGGACATGTTACATATGCTGAACGACGGCTAATCCTGACATACAATGTTGGTCGAAACGGGACTGGGTTCGGAGAAGTCTCAGGATGGCGAGATCAAGACATGGCACCAGTTCGTGATGTCTCCAACTGTTAGTCTGTGTCGTATAAGGTGCCTGTTTGGGGGTTCCCGGAGAGAATGCAAATTAATAATCAGAAATTATTTGCGATACGGTTGGAAATCAGTCACAGTGATTGAGATGCATATGTTCTTTTTCTTGTTCCAAGTCGTAAACATTTTTAATAGCCTTTATCTATTTTTCCTTTCGTCTTTCGTACGCTTTTATTTGCTTTAATGTCACTTCTATCCCCTTGTTTTCATGCTGGTGTGAAATGTATCACCTCGAACCGATGCACTTGTGTACAAGGTTCTACACTTATTTTCTCCTTTCTTTCATCAGTCAGTAAGCAGACGAGGTATGCAGAGCGCCTGTTAAATTAACTTTGTTTCTACGGTACTACTGCGATGTACTTAGTGTTTGACTATTGTGATCGATTAAGAAGAAGTGGCTGATACTATTGAGACCTCTTTCTCTCTGATATATAGGATAGCATACTTCGAATCCCAAAAATGAGTCCATTTGTCGTTGAATCCTACATCAATAGTTCTTCTCTCAGGGTAATTCTTAAAATTGGTTTGATTTTGACGGCATACATGGATTAGTAATATTCCCAATAACGTCCTATCACTGAGTCGAATCCCACTACGATCTGTGTTTTCGTCCGAACTTCAATCATCGTGATTATCCCCTCATAATCTGATACACAGCTCTGTTGAGTGTATTTAGTGGTATGTCTTTATTTCCTACGTCATAAGTTACAAACAAAAACTGCCGGCATTGAAATACTTTCATTAACTACGAGGTCAACAACTAGTCGAACATAGATTCAATTTAGAGGTTTTCCGGGGTGTATGTATTTATTTCAGGTTGGTTTCCATCACGGACTGACATCAGTTGGAGGAACATTGGAAACTTGCGAGCACTGGATAGCTGTTTTGACCTACTATGAGACTCCTCTGTAGTACGGACTCATGGCTGTGCCGGGGATCGAACACGCGATCTTCAAGTCCGTGGCCAGCATGTTACCATTGAGCCACTGGGTCGGGATCCGATGTTCCATATCTCTTACCTCTGTCGCACCTTATCGTAAACTGATAGATGAAATTATGGACCATTGGATTCCCCGGGAGAAAAGTGGGTACGCACTGGCTATGAGCTCGATACTAGAAGGGAACAACTGTCCAGTGCTCTCAGGTTTCCAATGTTTCTCCAACTGATGTCAGTCCAGAATGAATATGAACTTGAAAACATGGTGTTTGTTTTGTGGATATTCCGGAGACATTTCAAACCTGGAAAAAAGCTGATATTACTGCCTTCTGTTCGTAAATATTTGTCAAAGCTTCCTCAAGTTCAT